GGGACACATCGAGTGGCTGCCACCGCACAACCGACCAGGGCCGGGGACAAACTGCAGCCGAGGCACGTGCCCTTAACAGTAACCGAACCCGGGTCTCTCGGGACCGCAGGCCGACGCTCTAACCGCTGAGCCAAACCGGCCAGGTCTCTCTCTCTCTCTTCCTGTCTCTCCCTCCCGCTCTATCTGAACAAAAAATGGAAAAATGTCCTCGGGTGAGGATAAAAAAAAAAAAAAAGGAAAAAATTTAAAAAAACAACAAAGATGCAGGCTGCTTGGCCTCGCTTACCACGGTAGACCATAAAGCCGGGCTGAGTTAACACATGAATAAACAGATACTTCTCTGTTAAATTTATGTGACATGGCAGCCAAAATGAATGCATGCATCCGAAGTCACCCGCAAATACTCATTTCCATTAATTCGATGTTTTCGTTGGGTGGACCATTTTGCTGCACGTTATTGGGGGGTTGTGGCATGGGAAAGTTTACAATAGGCCAGTTCACGACTTCCCTAAAAACCAAGGATGGTTTTGCCATTCAGACACATCTAAAATATAGCCCTGGCTGTTTTGCTCAGCGGTTAGAGCGTCGGCCCACGGACCCATGAGTCACAGGTTTGATTCCTGCCAAGGGCACGTACCTCGGTTGCAGTTTGTCCCCGGCTCCGGTTAGGGTTGTATGAGTGGCAACCACTCGATGTGTCTCTCTCACGTCAATGTTTCTCTCTCTCTCTTCCTCCCTCTCTCTCTCTCTGAGGATGAATGCAAAAATGTCCTTGGGTGAGGATAAATAAATAAAGTAATACAGTTCGAAGTTTTTAGTATATTCATAAGCATGCTCAGCAATCATACTATCTGATTTCAAGACATTTTCTTCACCCCACAAAGGGAACACTGGAGCCCATTAGCAGACACTCCCATACCCCCTCATGCTAGCCCTTGGAAACCACGAATCTACTTTCTGTCTCTACGGATTTATCTGTTCTGGACATTTCATGCAGATGGGATCATACATGGCATTTTGTGACTGGCTTCTCTCTTTTAGCATAAGGTTTGCAAGGTTCATCATGTTATAGCCTGTATCTGGTCTTCATTTCTTTTCATGGCAGAATAATATTCCATTGTATGGATATTCCACATTTGCTTATCCATTCATCAGTTGATGGACATTGGGATTGTTTCTACTTTTTGGCTCTTATGTAGGAATAATGCTATCATGAACATTCTTACATGTCTTTGCGGAGCACACGTTTTCATTCCTTTGGGGGTATCCCTAGGAGTGGAGTTGCTGGGTCCCATGGTTGGTAACTAGCAACATGCTGAGGAACCATGATCATTTGTGTGCCCGTAGAATGAAGGCTTAGTCCAACTTCCTTCACCTAAATATGTTAGGCCTTGCCCTTAAAAGTCCTCTTTAAACAAGAAAGGTGCAAATCTTTCCATTAGATAACTGAAACTATCCCCCAGCTTGTCTCGGGCATTATGTGAGGTTTTATTTGGCCTCACTGACATTTACATTTGCATCATGAGATTTCAGAGAGAAGCATTGGATATTTTTATGAAAATAAAAATCTAGCCCAGCTGGTGTGTCTCAGTGGATTAAACATCCTACGCACCAAGAGGTCAGCAGTTTGATTCCTGGTCAGGGCACATGCCTGGGTTGTGGGCTCGATCCCCAGTAGGGGGCGTGCAGGAGGCAGCCAATCAATGTTCTCGCTCATCAGTATTTCTATCTCTCTCTCCTTCTCTAAAAAAAAAAAAAAAAAAATCAATAAAAACGTTTTTTAAAAAAGTAACAGGCTCAGAGTCTATACCGAACGGTGTCTTCAAGCGTTGGAAGCTGAGGTTCTGCCACCTTAGTTTGGGATCCGACACAGCCTTGCAGGAAAGCTGGAGACGGATGAAAGGAGCCCAAGGCCGCGGTGGAATAACATGCGGAAGTTTCATTAACTGCCTCCCGAGTGCTATTTCTTAGTGGATGCGTCCCTTTCCTGTTAAAACTTTGAACGCTGTGTGATTGCTTGGTTGCATGATTCAGCGCATAAATGACCCCTCTCCTCTGACCTGACCCTGGTGTCCACTTAACGAAGCCAGATTGGAAGAGGGTTATAGCTGGCTCGGGAGGCTTCTGCCCCAGCGACACCTCCCTGGGAACCACGTGACTATAATGCCACAGCTCCGAACCAGCCTTCGTGGGGCACCTGCTCGGGACCTCCCAGGATGCTCTCTGGCCGGGTCTGCAAGCGACCAGTTCTCCCCCCAGGGGTTCTCTGTCCTTGCCTCTCCAAGTGAGTGCATGATGGCCTTGGGGTCCTTGCCACTCACATCATGCTGAGAGTTACCCTAAGATCACGTGCACGTCGACAGGAGTGATTTCACAAAGCCCACATGCTTCTAACTTCTATTTCCTGGGGAAGTGAACCACAGGTTCTGTGATTATTGTAACACTCTCGGCCAGTTCGGTTCATAGGAACAATGAGCTCTTTCCTACCGCCTTTGGGTGGGAGGTTTATTTCTCAGAAATCAAAACTCCCTTGGGGTGGTCGGGGTGGTAACCTGCCTTTGCTTCCGCCGTTGTGTGTGACCTAGAGGAGAGACCTTGAGACCACCCCGTGCCATTGTGTAAAGCATGTGTTTCTGATGTTTTGACATCTTGAGGCCTTGCTGACCCTGGAGAGACCGGCCACCATCCCCCTGCCCTAATCAGCCCACAGTCAAGTACCGGATAACTAGGGACACCCCCTGGGTACCCGAGCTGGCCCAAATTCAAACCAGCCAGTTCTCAGCCTGCTCACCCTGCCTGGCCTGTTCTTTCCCACGGAAACCGAAATAAAAGCTCTGAAACATATTCTCCTCCCACTCTCCGTGCCTCCGGACCCCCCACGATGCGCCCCGTGTGGCCCGGCCCCTCCTCTTGGGAACTGAATAACTAGCTTTTCAATGGCAGTGGTCTCCTGATCTGTGGGCCTCACCCCACGAAAAGAACAATAAACCTACGTTTTAAAACATCCACGGAAACTACACGCCTGGGGCTGGGCTGTGACTATATCATGAAGCACTTTGAGGCTCATAAAGAACTGGACAGGCAGTCCCAGAATCCAGCTCCTTCCCTCAGCCCCAGCCACTAAGGTATGGGCCCCACGTGGAAAATTCTGGGGGGAATGGCGCCATCTTGTGGTGTTTTTTTGTTTTACAGGCCCTATTTTTTAAAAATTTCTAAGACTTCTTTTTTTAGAGCAGTTTTAGGTTTGCAGCAACGTTGAACAGAACGCACAGCAGGTCCTCGAATAACATCATTTCATTCACTGTCCTTTTGTTATGACGTTGATGAGATGCCACAGGAATGTAACTGTTCCCTGTAGCCTGTGATAAAATTGGTTTTGTTACACACATGGCTGGATCTGAAAGTTATTATATTAAGGGAAAGAAGTCAAACAAAAGGAGTAACACTGTATGATTTCATTTACAGAAATTTCTAGAAAATGTCAACAAACCCATAGTGACTGAAAACAGATGAGTGGTTGTTTGGGGATTGGGGGTGAGGGCCCAAGAAAGACAAACTGCAAAGTAGCCAGAGGAGATCTGTGGGGCGCCTAAGCAGGGTCATAGCATTTGACAATACAGAGGTCATGGCAGAATGGCAGGGGCAGAAAGCCAATGGCGAAGGTTGAGAAGTGACTGGGAAGAAGGTGCAGCCCTAACTGTCCAGAAGCTACCAGGGAAGAGTACAAGAAAAATACAGTTTTAGTGCCCTTCTCCACGGAGCCTCCTCTTGGGAGCTGTTGGTGAGTCCAGTTAGCTTAATGCAAATAACTTCAAAACTCCAATGGCATGTATTTCCTGTATCTCATCATGTGACATGTTCAGTTCCACTTGACCAAGGTTGAAAGGCACCATAATGTTAAGCACAAGGATGCTGGCATCAGAATGTCTGAGAATGAATCTTTGCTCCGGGCTGGCTGTGTGACTCGAGTCAAGTTACTTAGCCTCTCTGTGCTCCAGTTTCTCCATTTATAAATGGGTGTGAGCATCTCCTGTTGTAAGTATTAGCCTTCGTACCTGTAAAGGGCTTAGAATAGTGTTGGCCACATTCTGATCCCTAAGAATGTTCATACAAATGGATTTTTGTTCCTATTACAGAAAGGTTTGTGCTCATGGTCATGAGGGAAAGCAGAGAGATGTATGTAGCATCTGTCCTAGCCTCCAGGACCAGCAACTGCCGGTCAGATTTAAATTTCTGTACAGCTCTTCTGTGTAGGCTGGCCCAGCAGCCTCTGCACTTGGTCAGCCTAGGCACGAAGGCCAAAGAAGGCCGATTCTCAAAGGCCACTTGGGCGAACCTTGATGCAAGTTGCAAGAGTGAAAGCCGAGTTCACCAGGGTTAAGACATTCTGGGAACGGAGACGTTAGGCTTCCTGAGATTTTGGACGATTTGCGTTTCAACCGATGAAGAGCGACAAGCTGATAGCCCTTAGGCTTATTCAGGCCCCTCACCACGCTCCAGGCCGAGGTCACTGCAAGATTCCGCCCCCAATGGCCCCTAATCCCAGGGTGTGTCCAACCTCAGACCACTGCAGCGCGCGTAACCGCAGCCCCGCCTCTCTCCGTCGCCCCGCCTCCCCAGTTCCCATAGCCCCGCCTCTCCGTGGCTCCGCCTCCCATTCCCGCAGCCCCGCCTCTCTCCGTCGCTCCGCCTCCCCAGTTCCCGAAGCCCCGCCTCTCCCGTCGCTCCGCCTCCCCAGTTCCCATAGCCCCGCCCCTGCAGCGTGCGTAGCCGCAGCCCCGCCTCTCCCCGTCGCTCCGCCTTCTCAGTTCCCGCAGCCCCGCCTCTCTCCGTCGCTCCTCCTCCCCTGTTTTCACAGCCCCGCCCCTGCAGCGTGCGTAGCCGCAGCCCCGCCTCTCTCCGTGGCTCCGCCTCCCCTGTTTTCACAGCCCCGCCCCTGCAGCGAGCGTAGCCGCAGCCCCGCCTCTCTCCGTCGCCGGGTCCCCGCAGTGCGTCCTGTCGCTGCTGCCTCACCGCCCCGCCGCCCCTACTTGCTCCTCGGTGTTGCGTCGCTGGCTGAGGGAGGCAGGTGCCATGGCGGCCGAGACACTGGTGGCCGAGGCGGTGGCCGCGCGCCTGGCGCGGCAGGAGGAGGACATCCGCTGGCTGTGGGCGGAGGTGCAGCGCCTGAGGGATGAGCAGCTGAACGCGCCCGACCGGTGCCAGGCCGACGGGCCGTGCCTGACGCGGGAGGTGGCGCAGCTGCGGGCCGAGAACCGCGACCTGCGCCACCGCCTGTACCGCCTGCGGCTGTGCCTCGCCGAGGAGCTGACCCACCAGGCGAAGCTGGAGAGCACGGCGCAGGCGGCGGCGCCGCACGGGGAGGCCGGGCGCGCGGGTCCCGGCGCGCAGGTAGCGGGACGGCGGGGCTCCCGGGGGACACGGTGGGCGCCCGGGGGTGTGCGGGCCCAGACCCCCCTCCCCTTACTGGGGAGCCGGCGTGTGGCCTGGACACCAGGCACCGCTGTCGCCCAGCATCGCCAGGCTGACCTCAGGATGCACTTGCTCAGCTCGTCCATTACGTTGCTGCCCCACGTTTTTTTTTGTTTTGTTTTTTTTTAGCAGCAGAAACAGCCTTTTTCCTTTGCTTGAAAAAATAAAATGCTGGCGTGTTGAAAGCTCCCGTCTGTCCTTGGGCAGGAGGACCAACAGCTACATAGGCGGATCGTTCCTGGTTCTGAGCTGTGTAGGACGATGGGGGTTGTGGGGTCCTGAGGCTTGTCTGTTTAACCTCCTGATTTAACGGGTTTTGCGGTTTTAGTCCATTGAAACAAAGTGTCTTCCTGTAACGTAACAAATTGCCTAGGTCCTCAAGGCTTTCTCAGACCCAGGCTCTTTTTCAGTGGGGTTACCAAGGAAACCCATGGTACCCCGCCAACATCTTCTTGAAATAAATGCGTTTCAAGTCTTGGGTGGCTGCTGCACAACCATTTTACAGTAGCATTATTTGTTTAAAGTTTAGGGGGAGGGGACTTTAAAATATATTCAAAGTACTTATATTTAAAATGCATTAAATATATTCAAATGTGTTACCTGTTCTTAGCAAGAGAATGCACAGACAGGAAGGGCCAAACCTCAGGAAACTACTTGCCCATTGAGGGTGGTAGGCGGTGCTCAGAAGAGCCCAGCTGAGAGCCTCTTAAACGGGGGACTTTTGCTGCCTATTGGCATGCCCCCCTTCTTCCTAGGGTCTTGGGTATGTTGCTCTTTGTTGTCATTGGTGTGAGTTGTTTACAGTTTACCTTTGCTTCTCAGCCTCCTTCTAGTCAAAACCGAGAAAAGGACACTAAAAAGAAGAAGGAAAGGGAGCCTGACCATGAGGTAAGTCGTTGCTGTGAAACTAATATAAAACCCTACCTGTGCCCTGGCCGGTTTGGCTCAGTGGTTAGAGCATTGGCCTGCGATCTAGAGAGACCCGGGTTCGGTTCCCACTAAAGGCATGTACCTTGGTTGCAGTTTGTCCCCGGCCCTGGTTGGTCGTGCGGGTGGCAGCCACTCGATGTGTCCCTTTCACGTCGATGTTTCTCTCTCTCTCTCTTCCTCTCTCTCCCTCCCACTCTACCTGAACAAAGAATGGAAAAGTGTCCTCCGGTGAGGATAAAAAAACAACAACAAAAAACCCTACCTGTAATTGAAACAGTCTCATATAGTTAATAACCCAGGGTTGTTTTTTTTTTCCATGAAAACATAAACACCAATTCAGTGACCGATTGAGGCACAGTTGTACATTTGACACTGCAGTCCTTAGATTCACGACGACTTCACTTAAAGATGAGCCTGTCACGGAGCTGTGAGCTCTTCCTTCGTGTTGAGTAAACTGGCTACTTTGCTTTTTTTTGTTGTGAATCCTCACCCGAGGATACTTTTCCATTGATATTTAGATAGAGTGGAAGGGAGGAAGGGGGAGAAAAAGAGAGAGAAACATCAATGTGAGAGAGACATATCGATTGGCTGCCTCCTGCACGACCCCGACCAGGGCTGGGGATTGAACCCACAACCCAGGTACGTGCCCTTGACTGGGAATTGAACCCGCCAACTGTTTGGTCCACTGGCTGACACTCTAACCCTGAGTCTAACAGGCCAGGGCCTACTTTGCTTTTTATATAAATCATTCAAACAGCCAGTGAGTATTTATGGAGTGTCAACATGTGGTGGGCACAGAGGAGGAATACATGGCTCAGAGGGCTCAGCCTGGTTGAGGAGTTCACACAGAAGCAGAAAGAACAACTAGAGAACAAAGGAAGATGGTATATGAACATGTTGAATTATGTGACTCTACAATGTGTGGAGAAGGGAGATGCCAATGGGTGTCATAGTTCGGGGCCCTGGGCTTTGAGCTGGCCCCTGGGAGCTGAGAAGGAGACGAGAGGGGTCTTCTGGAGGAGAGAGAGGGGTCTTCTGGAGGAGAGAGAGGGAAGTAGAGTGATAGCATCATTACCTCGCGGGTAATGGCCTAGCGCATGCGGGCTGGAAGGGGGCGGGGCTTACAGCTGAGCAGAGAGAAAAGAAGTGGTCTATGTATGTCAACCTTTGTGTATTCTGATGAATTTCAGGTAAAAAATCAACCGGACTTCATAAAGGAGAGATTGAAGCTTTTTGAAAAGTTGAAGAAAGATAACCAGCTGTTATTTGCCATTTATGAGCAAAAGGGGAAAGCAGGCAAAGTGATCACAGTGAGAGTGGCTGACGGGGAGACAGTGGAAGGGGAAATCTGGAAGACAACACCCTACCAAGTGGCTGCCGATATTAGGTAAACCATAGTTTGGAGAGGATGCTTGCTATTAAGTATTGTGCCAGACTTGTTGTTCCTAGGGACCACTAAAGTCTTGTTTTTTTTCCTTACTCATTGAATACATTAAATGAAATCAGTTAATTTTTTACCCCTCTGGCTTCTAAAGAGGCCATTTAAATAAGTAGTCAAATATCAGAACACAATCTCCTACTCTCTAAACACTCAATTTTTAAAGTTCGGGTAAAAATACATAGAGAAAAATGTATAATCCTTGCCAGGCCACATTACATTGCCTTTGTTTATTGAGATATTTCCATGAGTTTTCACAGGCCTTTTGCTAGACTCGGGGGTCAGGAAACTTAACTCCAAGCCATTGTTCCAGCAGTAACTAAACATGGGTAGTTCTGTGAACCAACTTGGGCAGATCCCTAAGCCTTTCCAAGCCTGTTTTCTTACCTCTTCTGTGGAAATAATAATACTTTCCCCATTTACTTTATGAGATTGTGAAGATTGAGTGAAATACTGTATATATGGAAAATACTCTGAAGAATTAAAGTGACTCTAGAAATGTACAGAAAGCTTATTAATTTTAGACTTGACGATGTCTGTGTTAGGGCTATTAACAGCCTGATATAAGTATTTTGACCTTCCTAGAAATGAAATACATTAGTGAAGTTATGTTGTTTTGACTCATGTTAATTTCTCGCATGAAATGCCTGGCATTGAGTATAGGTCTATAGACGCGATATCTCAAAACTGCCGTGTAAATAAGCCTCTGCTATTTTACCAGCAAACTTTGTAACGGTTGAACTTCTCAGATTTCCTTTGAAAGCCATGGTTAAGATTGTATGTCTTTTTGATACTATCATATTGTGTACCTGAAAGGCACCTCCCAGCCCATTGCCATATTTCCCAGAAGAGACAGATACTTGTGCTGGAGAAAAGTGGGTTTTGAGGCAAAAAATAATTTCACGTTCACTGGTGAAGAGTCAGGTTGTAGGTCCTACAGAGAGGTTGCAGGAGCGTCTGGAAAGTGAAATTGTCCCAGACAGAGGCTGGGCAGAGCCGTAGCAAGCAAACCAGAGAGAAGAAAGCAGCGGCCATCATTTTACCACCAGAAGCACAATTCAGACCCAAATCATGGATAATTGAGACTTATTTTAAAAAGAGATGAGCAGTATAATCCACACTGATTATTTGTCACAAACCTTGATGAGTTAAATAATATAGCATCAGATAAGAAACATGAAATGACAGAAACCCAAGAGCACAGACTTGAATGTGTTTCTCTGAGTTGACAGAACAAATAGGCAAAACATAAGATTATACGTGTTCAGTAATAACACTGTCAGGTAGACTGAGGGGCCACTCACTGGGCTCTGTGCTCTGTAGGCAGAGAGGACTTCTCTCTCCGCTCCTGGGGTCATGCTTTTGGCTCCTCAGAATCTTAATAAAATGCAAAAACATATGGTTCACATTCTGGGAGGAAAATGTAATCAGTCATGAACTCAGTGACCAGATGAAATGACAGCAAAACCGAATAAACCGTAGAACTGGGACATCGGCAAAAAACCTCTTCAAATAACTCGAGTGAAAGGAAATAAAAACAAGCACAGAATTCTCAGAAAATACTTCTTTGTAATCCTCACCCGAGGATATGTTTTCCTTTTTATTTTCAGATAGATTGGGAGGGGGGGAGAGAGACACACACACACACACATCGACTGGCTGCCTCCCGCATGACCCGACCAGGGCTGGGGACGAACCACAACTGAGGCACGTGCCCTTGGCCGGAATCGAACCCACGACTCATTGGTCCGTAGGCCGACGCTCTACCACTGAGCCAAACCAGCCAGGGCAGAAAATACTTCTAATGAGGAGATGTTTCAAAATCTGTGGACTGCATCCAAAGTGGCGATCAGAAACAGGTCCGCAGCGTGAAGGCGTTATTTCAGATGAGAGAATGCAGAGCAACGGCCAAGGCTTTAACTCGGGCAGTTAGAAAAAGAACAATTAAACAGGAGGAAACTAAGGGAGTACAGTAGGGAACAGTATTCACTGAGAAACTATTGGGATAAGTAAGGATCCAGTGAAGTGGCTGGATATAAAATAACGCTCAAAAATCATAGCTCTATTAAGTGATGCTGCGTGTTCTTGGTTCACGGGCAGTTGATCGTATAGGTAATTATTCCTGCTTGGGGATCATAGGCCTTTCTAAACAGAACGTGTGAGGTAGGAGCAACGTTCTACCCTAGTTAGGGTTTGGCCGTGTCCAGGGCTGGAAGCTGGGACTCCCCTGCAGGGGGGGGAAGAGCAGCCGCAGAACTGAGGCTTTGAGGCCCAGAGCCCACAGTGGCACACCGGTTTCCGCTCACATCCCGTTAGCTCACCTTTCGACACCCGAGCTGTAGAGCGTGGAAATCTCGCTGCTCTGCCAGCCACACGTTTAGCTAGACTAGCATTGTCACTGGGGAAGAGGAAGAATGGTTGAGGGACCACGACTGCCACGGCATGCCCCTCCGACATCTGTGAGCACCTCTGTCTTCGTCCCACACACTCCCTCCCCAAGTGGGACAACTCCGGGTCCCACCCGCCGAAAACCGGCGATTTCCGAGTGATGTGCACAGCCACCCCCGTGAGGCCGGCCCCATGCACTTCAGCCACCAGTCAGCTGATGACCACGACTGCCCCGCCGCACGTCCATAGAGTGGTGGAGTGAGCACGAGGCGGTCACAGTGAAAGTGTCTGGTTGGAAAGAAGGAGCGATGCAGCAGACGAGTGCAGAAGCCCTCAGATCCTGCTGGCAGCCACGGGAGCCCGCAGCCTGGTGTGGGAAGCACTTGGGTCTGCCCGTCTGGCCACCCTCTGTTCCGTGGGAGCAGCTCTGTAGTCCAGTCCTTTGTGGGCCCTGATTTTGCTCCTCGGGAGATTCAGAGTTGTCCCTAACCCTCGTCTGTCACGTGTGTGGAGCTGTTTGTCCTGGAGGCTGTACAGCTGGCATAGCCCAGCTCCTGCTGGTGCAGGCATGGGGCTGAGGCTCCATTAAGAATCAAGCAGGCAACCCTGGCCAGTTTGGCTCAGTGGTAGAGCATCAGCCCGTGGACCAGAGTCGCGGATTCGATTCCGGTCACGGGCATATACTTTGGTTGCGGTTCGTCCCCTGGTTGGGGTCGTGTGGGAGGCAACCAGTTGATGTGTCCCTCTCACATGTCTCTCTCTCTCTCTTTCTTTCTCTCTCTCTCTCTTTCTCTCCCACTCTATCTGAAGATAAATAGAAAAATATCCTTGGGCGGGGGCGTAAAAACAAAAGGTCAGGCAGTCAGAGGTGTGATAAGCTGGGCTTGTAGCTTGTGTGGCAACACAATTCTCACAAGCAGTTGAGTGTAGGAGGCTTCTGGTCTGTTTGCTTCAGGTCTGCAGGGAAGGTGATCTCCCTGAAAGGGTTCTTCCAGGCACAGACTTCTCACTCCTTTATTCCCTGCTTTTGTGCTTGGCTCCTTCCTCTTGCCCTCAATTCAGTGGGCTGAGAGCCTAGGAAATAAGAGGCTGTGGGAGGGCGGCCCCATCACTCTAATCTCGGGAAGACTCGGAATCCCCATTTTACAGATGAGGAAACCGAGCTTCGAGAAGCTGAGCAAATTGTCCAATGTTTAACCCAGCTCGGCCTGACAGCACAGGGTGTGCTATTAGCCACGGTGCCAGACCGCTGCTCGCGGGACTCAGACGCAATTAAAACAGCACATTTAAAGATGACACAGTGTAGTCGCACTTAAGACCAGAGCGCAGAGAAAAGATACTCTTGCACTTTTCCTGATAGGAGAACTGGGCAATGTATTCTGACAGAAGTCACTTGAAGTCATTTCCCTTGTCCCGGCAGTTTTACTTTTAGGATTTTTGCTGAAAAGAATAATCGAATACTAAGATGTATGTTCAAGAATGTTCCCTACAGTATTACCTGATGTTGCCAAAAAGAAAACCCCACAAAGAAATAACCAAAATGACTAGCAATAGTGGGTTTATAAACAAGTCTTGGTTCTGCAACTATTAAGTAGCATGTTTTAGAAGTCTCTCCTGTTAGGGAAAGTGTGACTTACTGTAAATTTAAAAAGTAGGTTACCAGGTATAATACACAGAGTGATACTATTAAAGATTTTGTATTGGCATATATATTTTTCAAAAACCTAGAAAGACATACAGTAATTTCTGGGTGATAGGATTGAGGGTGTTTTCCTTTTCTTTGTGCTTTTCTGTGCTCTCTAGGTTTCTTCTCTTAATATATTATTATTGTCATGTTTCAAACAACAGTAAATGCTATTTAAAATGCATGCGCTCACACACACACACGAGAAAGAGTAACACCTCAATAGAAAACACACAAAGGGCACGGATAGTTCCTAAAAGTAAGAATGGCTGATAAACATCTCCTAAAGTTAATAATCAGATAAATCAAATTAAAAAACAACTATCAACATCAAATTGGCAGAGATTTAAAAAATCTTTGAGGCTGCCTAGACGTGGCACACTCAGGCCGTATGTATCAGAAATCCTTCAAAGGCACGTGTCCTGTGCCCGAGCAGCTTCGCGCCTGAGGGCTCAGCCCCAGACAACGGTCCCAGAAGACACTGCGTGGAGATGTCGGTGCAGCAATGGCAGCTTGCTCGACAGATGTGATACTTCTGGACTCTTGGAAGTCTGTCCGATGGCGTAGCTGTGAAAGAGCAGGCAATAAGATTACCAAGGCAACCATGTATTTAAAAAAAAAAAAGAGAGATGTGTGAGTGTGTGTGTGTGACGGAGAGGTGGGTGTAGAGAAGACTGTACCAGCATGTTATGAGCACTTATCTCTGGGTGGGAAGATACATCTGTGAGCGTAACTTTATTCTTTGTCCTTTCTCGCGAACATATTACTCTTGTACTTAAAATAAATGTTACGAAATAAAAATGATTTGTGCCATTAGTTTGCATTTGTACTTTCTGTCCGCTTTAAAAAAAAAAAAAAAAGAACTCCTGGAAGTTCTTTTAATCTTTTGGTTTAACGAATCGTGATAGCCTGTGACAGGGTGACAGGGTTAACTGCCAGGCGACTTTTCTCTCACTAGTCGGGACCTGGCCGAAAGCACAGTCATAGCCAGAGTCAATGGTGAGCTGTGGGACCTGGACCGGCCGCTGGAAGGGGACTCCACTCTCGAGCTGCTTACGTTCGACGATGAGGACGCTCAGGCTGTAAGTATCGGACAGCCGACAGCCTGCTTTGGGTGTCTGACTTGTAAACGGCATGTGCACAGTCACACGTTGAAGTCCAGAACGGTGAGTCTCGTGGCCCTGGAAGGTTCAGTGTATGTGTGGCTGGTTGGTGAGTTTTCAGTTTTTTTTTTGTTTTTTTTTGGTACGTGCCCCAAGCGGGAACCGAACCCGGGACTCTCTGGTCCGCAGGCCAACACTCCAACCGCTGAGCCAAACCAGCCAGGGCAGTTTTCAGTATGTTTTTATGGAATGACCGTGTACATATGTATCAGGTTTGTTTAAGTGGCATCTGTCATTTCTCAACATCATTTCTCCTCAAGGCAGAGTGCTATAATTATTCAACGACCGTGTATTTGAAATGAATGGAAATACACTCTTATACGTGGATCTATTTTGTAATCTAATAAGTGTAGGAGAATTGGAAAATGTTATCAAGACTCAAATGTTCTTTTATTACTTGTTAATGTTTTTTTTTTTTTAAATCCTCACCAGAGGTCATTTTTCCATTTTTTACTCAGAGCGGGAAGGAGAGAGAGGAAGAGAGAGAAACATCGATGTGAAAGGGACACATCGAGTGGCCGCCACCCACACGACCCAACCAGGGCGTGGGACAAACTGCAGCCAAGGTACATGCCCTTAGCGGGAACCGAACCCGGGTCTCTGTGGACCGCAGGCTGATGCTCTAACCGCTGAGCCAAACCGGCCAGGGCTATTACTTGTTAATGTAAAAGTCTATAAAACAGTATCACGTTTTCATGCAAACTGAGAAACATTATCATCTTAACTTTGGAGTCTCCCTTCGAGGGGTCCCTTATTTGCATAAAACCTAATGTACGATTAGCTTAAGTTCCATTATGATGCTTATGCTAAATTTTTTAATTTATCAATCCAGATTATAAGAACGATAAAATATGCAAAGTATAATTGTTAACTAATATAATATTAAGAAAACCATTTCAAAGGTGATTCAGAAAGCAATTTTTGAGAGAAAGAAATAGCTTCTACGTATAGCTGAGTTTTTCTCAGTATTTCACAACTGCCACCTGACTTCATCCCAGATGTTGGGAGATTCTGTTTATTCCCTCAGTCAGCTGACCAGTATCCCAGGTGCTGCTGCAGGGAGAGGGTGTGGGGGCTCCCACCGCAGGGCGTGTGCACCTGGTGGGAGGAGCTAGTGAACAAGAAAGCCAGGAGGTGCTTTCGGATAGTGGTGTGGGTTTTTGGAGAAAATCGGTAGGGGTGGAGCAGAGCTGGCCTGCTCTTGGCTTCCCTGCAGATGGGATTCCTGCAACTCTCTTGAACTCTTCCAGCCTGTCAGGTGTTTGGGGGATAGAAAAGGGGGGATCTGCCAGGTTTAATGTTCCATGGAGGTGTTGGCATCTTTGGAGTTCTTTCCTCTTTGTATCCTGTGATGTCACGGAAAAGAAAACATTTATTATCGTAGGAATCTCTAGAGCACCTCACCAGCCTGCCCCTCTGCTTGCCGTGATGCTGGTGGGACACCTGGCGTCGCATCACAGGACTCCATGAATCTGTGTGGTCGTTGATGAAAGAGATCATAACATTTGGTGAATGCTCCTTGTATGCCAGGCACCGCCCCAGCCCCTGATGGGCATTGTCCCCCCCACCCCTGTCCCAGTTACCTGCCAGGTGGGCACCGTTTTAATCCCCACTCAACAGATGAAGCAACCAGGGCTCAGAATGATTAAGTCACTTTTTAAGACCTTGATGCTTCTTTGAGTGTAATTTAGCAACAGAGGTTTTTTTGTTGTTCCTGGGTTTTTCCTGTTATTATGAACATATTAACAAGATTTGGGCCCTGGCCGGTTTGGCTCAGCGGTTAGAGCGTCGGTCTGCGGTCCAGAGAGACCCGGGTTCGGTTCCCGCTAAGGGCATGTGCTTCGGTTGCAGTTTGTCCCCGGCCCTGGTTGGTCGTGCGGGTGGCAGCCACTCGATGTGTCCCTTCACATCGATGTTTCTCTCTCTCTCTTCCTCTCTCTCCCTCCCACTCTATCTGTACAAAAAATGGAAAAATATCCTCGGGTGAGGATTAAAAACAAAAACAAAAAAAAAAACACAAGATTTGGAACATTAACCAATTTATGAACATTGGGCACATATCCATGAGAAAGATATTCTACAGAAAAACAAATCCAGAAAACTCAGATCTACAAACTGATCAATGAATGGTTTTGTAAAAGCATTTTCTGCTTTCCTGAAAAATTCAAGTGTCCTTCATATAGCAAACTCTTACACTTTTAAAAGATGATCCTATTTATAAGAATAGTTAGCACATAATGTATCATACGCAAGAAATACTTCCTGCCTTCTGGATAAAACCATGTAGAAAATGACAGTGACTGTTCCTGTGAGGTTGATCAATATGCACACCAGAGACAAGGGGAGCCTATGAAATGACACAGCTTCCAAGTGTAAAATGGAATTGGGTTCCCTTTTCTTTTTTTAATCCTCACCCGAGGACATTTTTCCATATTTTGTTCAGATAGAGTGGGAGGGAGAGAGAGAGAGAAACATCGACATGAAAGGGACACATCGAGTGGTTGCCACCTGCACGACCCAACCAGGGCCGGGGACAAACTGCGACCGAGGTACGTGCCCTTAGCGGGAACCGAACCCGGGTCTCTCTGGACTGCAGGCCGACACGCTAACCGCTGAGCCAAACCTGCTAGGGCTGGGTTCCCTTTTTTAAAAAATACGTTTTAATTGACTTTTTAGAGAGAGAGAGAAACATGGATCAGCTGCCTCCTGTACACCCCCTACTGGGGATCAAGCCCGCAACCTGGGCATGTGCCCTGACTGGGATTGAACCAGGACCTGAGTCTTAGTCCCTGGGACAAGGCTTAGCCCACTGAGCCCCACCGGCCGGGCTGGGTTCCCTTTGTGATGTTCAGTGGAAGAGCTGCATGCTTTACTTCAGGTCTTTGCTGAAATCCAGGAGCATTCAGGGCCGCAGCAATGATCTCATGGCCAGGGAAACAAGGTCCTTCCCGGAAGTGTCAACCACAGAAGCAGACTTAGGTTAGAGCCGAAGCTGCTGGCTCTGTGATACGCTTGCAGCTACGTTCAGTGGCCTGAGCTGGGCATCACCTCGTTTTCAGTGACTCCATTCCCCGGCCCCCCACATCCTGCGTACTTTCTTAGCTGAGTTGACAGTTAATCAGTCCCTTCTTTTAGGGTTCTCTCTGGCACCGAATTTTTCTTGGTTTTATTCCCGCCTCTGGTTGTTCTTTCTGTCTTCCTTGCTGTCTTTTTCTTCTTCATCCACCTCCAAATGTGAAGAACTCCTCAGTGCTCAGCCGCAGCCCCCTCCTGTCTCAATACCCCTGTTCTAAGCTGTCCTGTCCGTTCGTAGACTCAACTCTCACGTCGGTATTAGACGTGCCTCCGTCTTGCGTGCACCACTGCCCATGTGATGTCTCCACCCACGTGTTCGCGACTCGGTTCAGGCTGTCCACGGTGACATTCTGGATTTGGATCCAGACTTCCTTCTTCCCTGGGTGCCCCCTCAATGAGGAACTCCGGCATGCCCAGTTCCTCGACCCAGCAGCTTGGAGGTGTACGCTTTTCCCCCTGCCTCAACTCCAGCCTGATTTGTTGGTCAGCACTACCTTCACAGCGTGCATCGCCCTGTCCACTCTTCCGCCTCCCCCGGCTTGCCAGGAGCCTCCGGTGGAGCTGCTACAACGCACCCAGGACACGCCCACCTGCTGTCTCCCTGGAAAGCCATTCCTGTTCTGCTGCCGAGTGCCATTTTACCGTGTAAAAGGAGTCATTTCTTTTCTGCTTAAAACCCTTTAACATGCCCCATTGCATTTAGAATAGAACCCAAGTCCTTCCCCAAGGCCCACGCCAGTTGCTGGCCTTTCTTACCTCTCCGGCCGTTCCCAGGTTACTCCGGCCCTTCCCCTCCGCGTTAACCGCACGGGCTTTCCTGAGTCCTCAGTGTGGAGCCTTCACTGTTGGTTTTTATTGCAGTGCCCTGTCCTCTGAGCTCTCTCGATTAGTGCTTGTGCACGTACTGATTTCTTTATTGTCTGTCTCTGCACTGCATGAGGCCCCTGACTTTTTTTTTCATTGATGTATCCCCAACACCTACCACGTTGTTCCTTCAGTGAGTGCCTGGGTGCGGACAGTGTTCAGAAGGGGTGACCTGGCTGGTGCTGGCAGGGAGCCTGTCATCTCGGCACCCGAGCAGAGGGCTGTGCCCCGAGGACGGACGCTCAGGGTCAATGGGCAGCTTACAGCCGGCCTGATGCTTGGGGTCGGGATGTCCGTGGTCTGCTCCATCAGCTAGCTCCATCTGCTCTGACTTATTTTAGCAGACATCTTTCTCATTGTAATTTGTCCTATCAAGGGATAGAAAGTGCAGCCAAAGGACTCGATTATCTTCTCCCTCTGGCGCCCATATTTCTTTGGTAACCAGTTAGTGTTCTTTTATCCATAAGCCATTGATTGCTTGGGCATTCAAAACCGAATCAGCTGTCGGAACTGGTGGGGCTGATGATCCGCCCTTGGACGGCGGTAGTGAACTCGTGTGCACTGCCCAGGCTCTCGGGCAGCTGGGAGGCCCTACCTGGCAGCACCTTCTCCCCGAGCCTTCTTCCCGAGGCCTGCAGTCACATGCTCTCCAGCACATGAAGGCTGCTGTGCAGATTCAAAACGTTGTCCATGCCCTGGCTGGTTTGGCTCAGCGATTACAGCATCGGCCCTCGGAACAAGGAGTCGTGGGTTCAATTCTGGTCAAGGGCATGTACCTTGGTTGTGGTTCAGTCCCTGGCCCTGGTCAGGGTCATTCGGGAGGCAACCAGTCGATGTGTCTCTCACATCGATATTTCTCTTTCTCTCTCCCTCCCACTCTATCTGATGATAAATGGAAAAAAAATATCCTCGGGCGAGGATTAAAAAAACAAAAACAAAAACGTTGTTCATGCTGGCGATGCTGTGAGCACAACAGCTCCCTGCGTCTGGCTCGGAGCCCACCCCTGGACGAAAGGGAAGAAGCCAATGCCTGTCCGTCCCCGGCTGTCTCCACTCCGGGCTGAACCAGGTTTTCGGGTGGCTGCTCTGCTCCGCATTTCGAGTGGGTGGTTAGGGCTTTACCACCGTTAAAATGCATAGCAGGGAAAGGTTCAGGGGCCATGCTTTCGCCTGGACTCAGAATGGCGGTTTACACCAGAACCCAGCAAGTGGCCTCGGCGGAGTTGAGGGAGGGCTCAGAAAGGTTCTCTTCTCCGTGGGCAGCAGAGATTCTTCTTTTCAAATCGAGGTCGCCCTGTTTCCTGGTGTCTCGTGCCTTAAAACATACCCACTTGTTAACTCCTTTTTTTTACCCTCACCCGAGGACATTTTTCCACTTTTGTGCAGATGGAGTGGGAGGGAGAGAGAGGAAGAGAGAGAGAGAGAAACATCGATGTGAAAGGGACACATGGAGTGGCTGCCTCCCGCACGACCCAACCAGGGCTGGAGATGAGTCGCAACCGAGGTATGTGCCCTTGACTGGAATCAAACCCGCGACTCATTGGTCTGTGGGCCGACACTCTAACCACTGAGCCAGACCAACCAGGGCTTGTTCACTCCTTTTACTGACACTTTTCCATGATGGGGTTTTGATCGCCAGCTGCCTGTGTCCTGTGCCCGCAGGCTTACTGGCGCTCCAGCGCTCACGTGCTCGGCGAGGCCTTGGAGCTGTACTACGGAGGCCACCTGTGTTATGGTGCACCCATCGAAAACGGATTTTACTGTGACATGTTCATTGAAGACAGGTAACGCTGCTGAATACTCACTTCTGAATGCTTGTGTTTCGGCTCATTGTTTCACAGGGGTTACATTTTAGCTTAGTGATTATATGTTACATAATATGATTACAGCTAGGTTCAAGGGTAACTTCTCAAATTGTTTTCTTTCTTTTCCTGGGAGGAAGTGATATACTATGTATCTAATCTGGGACTTGATAGAGCACGGCACTGATTAAGTCCAGAACCTCCAGGTTCGTCCCTACAGAACAGTCAGTTCCGTTTTTCTCCGTGGTAACAGAGGGTGCTGCCCACCTCGCAGACATCGCACACGGGTGAATGCCGGACAGGCGGGTCGCACAGCCTCACGTCCCACAGCTCTGTGCTCGAGATCACTGCAGGAGGCCAGCCCGCCCTCCCCTCTCCTCCTCTGTATGATTCTGTGCTCGAGATCACGGCAGCAGGCCAGCCCGCCCTCCCCTCTCCTCCCCTGCATGTTCTGTGCTCGAGATCACTGCAGCAGGCCAGCCCGCCCTCCCCTCTCCTCCCCTGCGTGTTCTGTGCTCGAGATCACGGCAGCAGGCCAGCCCGCCCTCCCCTCTCCTCCTCTGTATGATTCTGTGCTTGAGATCACGGCAGCAGGCCAGCCCGCCCTCCCCTCTCCTCCTCTGCATGTCTGTGCTCGAGATCACGGCAGCAGGCCAGCCCGCCCTCCCCTCTCCTCCTCTGCGTGTTCTGTGCTCGAGATCACGGCAGCAGGCCAGCCCGCCCTCCCCTCTCCTCCTCTGCGTGTTCTGTGCTCGAGATCACGGAAGGCCAGCCCGCCCTCCCCTCTCCTCCTCTGTGTGTTCTGTGCTCGAGATCACGGCAGCAGGCCAGCCCGCCCTCCCCTCTCCTCCTCTGCGTGTTCTGTGCTCGAGATCACGGAAGGCCAGCCCGCCCTCCCCTCTCCTCCCCTGCGTGTTCTGTGCTCGAGATCACCGCAGCAGGCCAGCCCGCCCTCCCCTCTCCTCCCCTGCGTGTTCTGTGCTGGAGATCACGGCAGCAGGCCAGCCCGCCCTCCCCTCTCCTCCTCTGTGTGTTCTGTGCTGGAGATCACGGCAGCAGGCCAGCCCGCCCTCCCCTCTCCTCCTCTGCGTGTTCTGTGCTCGAGATCACGGCAGCAGGCCAGCCCGCCCTCCCCTCTCCTCCTCTGCGTGTTCTGTGCTCGAGATCACTGCAGCAGGCCAGCCCGCCCTCCCCTCTCCTCCCCTGCGTGTTCTGTGCTCGAGATCACGGCAGCAGGCCAGCCCGCCCTCCCCTCTCCTCCCCTGCGTGTTCTGTGCTCGAGATCACTGCAGCAGGCCAGCCCGCCCTCCCCTCTCCTCCCCTGTATGTTCTGTGCTCGAGATCACCGCAGCAGGCCAGCCCGCCCTCCCCTCTCCTCCCCTGCATGTTCTGTGCTCGAGATCACGGCAGCAGACCAGCCCGCCCTCCCCTCTCCTCCTCTGTGTGTTCTGTGCTCGAGATCACTGCAGCAGGCCAGCACGCCCTCCCCTCTCCTCCCCTCTCCTCCTCTGCATGTTCTGCAGGGTGCCGCCAGCTGCCACAACTGAAGCTTGAGGGTCCTGCAGTCCCCTGCTCCTCGCTGCCTCACCCAGGCCTCAGTCCAGTTCTGCCTGTTTATCTTCTAACTAGCCCCCCCTCCCCCCCCCCGCCTCTCCTCTCTCCTGCTGCCTTATTTAGACCTGTCACAGCTCTTGCCTGGACAGCTGTGGTCCATTTGCCTTTCCCTGTCACCTCCACAAGGTTGCAGTGTCTCCCTCACCAAGCATTGAGTGACTCCTCCAGCCCCTGTTGCCACTGCCCCCGGATTGACTGCCTGCTGTGCGCTCTGTGCTTGGTGCTGCTGACTAGTAGCGACCAGATCCGGGTCCTCTGGACCGCAGGCCGACGCTCTAACCGCTGGGCCAAACCGGCCAGGGCCAGATCCGGGTCCTTAGGGAGCTCACAGTCCCTTTGCAGGAGACAGACAGTAAATACAGGGTCGTCTGCCATCAGGTGGTGACGAGTGCTGTGAGGAACACACAGCCAGCTGTGCGGAGGAGGGGCGGCAGCAGGCAGGTGGTCAGGAAACAGGAAAGCGACCCTGGGGCGGGGCCAGGACAAAGGGAGGGAGCAAGCCCGGAGGCTGTGGCGGGTGTCTGTGGACATGTGCAGGAGAACATCCCGGCCCTGCGGGGCAGCCCGTGTGTGGATGTGTGCGGCTTGTTTGAAGAATGGCAAGGAGGCCAGTGTGGCCGGGGGCGGAGCTAAGCCAGGCAGCGACAACAGGGAAGCCAGTCGATGTCTACAGAGGACCATTGCCCTTGGGAGGCCCTGACCCTGCTCTTTACCCTCCCCGAGCTGCCTCCCAACCTCCACTCCACAGTCAGTGAGGGCGGGGACCCGGGGAGCACTGAACGCCACTCACGTTGTACTCCTGTAGTCGTGCGAGGGATGGGGAGCCACTCACTTTGTACTCCTGTAGTCGTGCGAGGGATGGGGAGCCACTCACTTTGTACTCCTGTAGTCGTATGAGGGATGGGGAGCCACTCCCTTTGTACTCCTGTAGTCGTGTGAGGGATGGGGAGCCACTCCCTTTGTACTCCTGTAGTCATGCGAGGGATGGGGAGCCACTCCCTTTGTACTCCTGTAGTCATGCGAGGGATGGGGAGCCACTCCCTTTGTACTCCTGTAGTCGTGTGAGGGATGGGGAGCCACTCCCTTTGTACTCCTGTAGTCATGCGAGGGATGGGGAGCCACTCCCTTTGTACTCCTGTGGTCGTGCGAGGGATGGGGAGCCACTCCCTTTGTACTCCTGTAGTCGTGCGAGGGATGGGGAACCACTCACGTTGTACTCCTGTAGTCGTGCGAGGGATGGGGAACCACTCCCTTTGTACTCCTGTAGTCGTGCGAGGGATGGGGAACCACTCCCTTTGTACTCCTGTAGTCGTGCGAGGGATGGGGAACCACTCACTTTGTACTCCTGTAGTCGTGCGAGGGATGGGGAACCACTCACGTTGTACTCCTGTAGTCGTGCGAGGGATGGGGAACCACTCACTTTGTACTCCTGTAGTCGTGCGAGGGATGGGGAACCACTCACGTTGTACTCCTGTAGTCGTGCGAGGGATGGGGAACCACTCACGTTGTACTCCTGTAGTCGTGTGAGGGATGGGGAACCACTCACGTTGTACTCCTGTAGTCGTGCGAGGGATGGGGAACCACTCACTTTGTACTCCTGTAGTCGCTCGAGGGATGGGGAAGCCAGCACAAAGACCCTCAGTGGCTCACAGTGTAACAGGAGGTTCCGACAGGGCTTTCTGACTGCAGGCTCGCTGCACAGATCGTCCCGTCTGTGAACGCCTGTCTCCTCTCCCAGAGGGCTATCCGCCTTCGGATGAGGGTTTGGCTTTCTGAAGTCCCAGTGCAACAAACACTGGTTCCTCCATTGAGAAAGCATGCCGGTTGGCGGCACAGGCTGCAGGCCCGGGCCAGGGGGGCGTTCTGATGCCTGGAAAGTCTGCTGATCCCCACCCCCTCCTGCAGGGCCGTGTCCAGCGCGGAGCTGTCAGCCCTGGAGGACATCTGCACGGCCATCATCAAGGAGAGGCAGCCTTTCGAGAGGCTGGAAGTCAGCAAGGACGTCCTCCTGCAAATGTTTCAGGTACTTTCAGGAAGTGTTTAGAGTTTTAAAAAAACGGTGCTAGGAACATTAAAAATAATTAACATGGACAACTTTTTGTGTGTGGAAATAGTTAGCGGTTGCTCACCAAATTGTTCCAAACCGTTGGTTATCACCAGTCGCTTAGCGTGATATTTCCCTACTATTTCTTGACATTAAAAAATGTTGACTCATGCAAGTTTTTTTTCCTCTTTCCAACACTGCATCCTTTAAGTGGTTATTTAATTAATATAACACCATGGAATAGTAAGGAAAGCAAAAACAGAAAAGAAAGTGTCTGTGAAGTGTGTAAATGGGATGGTATGATCATTTAGTATAAACTTTGTTTTTACATAAATTAATAATGTGACTGTTTCCACAGAATTTTATGTATATCTCATGTGGTTAAAATTGGAATCTTCTAGAAAGCTGCTGTCCATGTGGAAATCCAGTGCGATTCGCAAATCTGAGCAACTTGTGTAATCTTTAATTTTCTGGTAGCTCAAAGAAGCGTGACATAGATTTTTATAACATTTTATTTATTTATTTATTTATTTTTAATTTATTTTTTTATTTTAATTTTTTTAAATCCTCCCCTGAGGATATTTTTCCACTTATTTTCAGACAGAGCAAGAGGAGGAGGAGAGAGAGAGAGAGAGAGAAACATTGATGTGAGAGAGACACATCAACTGGTTGCTTCTCACAACACCCCAACCAGGGCCGGGGCAAACTGTAACTGAGGTACGTGCCCTTGACCGGAATTAGACCCACAGCCCTTTGGTCCATGGGCCAATGCTCTAACCACTGAGCCAAAATGGCCAGGGCTATATATCACATTTTATTTAACCCAACATTATCAAAATATCACTTCAACGTGTAGCCCACATTAAAAATAACGGATGAGTTATTTTACATTCTTTTTCTCACATTATGCCTCTGAAACCTAGTGTGTTTTGAACTCACAACGCAGCATCTCATTTCACTTTAGTTGAAGTCGGGTGGTCAGTGGCCACGCGGGCTCGTGGCTCCTGGACTGGACAGGACAGTGCTCGGCTGTGAGCTCTTCGTATCCCCAGAATCTCAGCACCTAGAACATACAAAGCACCATTCAGTGTTTGTTGGAAAAAGTCTATTTTTTTCCACTGAAACATTGTATGTAACAACATGTAAATTTGTTTTTCCTTGTAGTACAATAAATTTAAATGCCGCATTTTGAACGAGAAGGTCGACACTCCAACGACCACAGTTTACAGGTAAAGTGTGTGTCGATTTTAAAACTACTTGGTGGTTCATCGGAGGCATCAGCAGGAGAAACAGTTCGTGTTTGGGTGGGTGTCTATTTGGAAATTTGCATATTGACATACTACTTTAGATAGGGACTCTGAGATGTTGTCACCGACGGGAAGTTGTTAGTTTCTCCTTTGTGTTTATCAGAATGGCACCGAAACCCAAGCTGTGTTTTCTGAATGTTCGCTGTAACACGGCGTCTTTTTCTATGGGGGTGAGACAGCGTTCGCCCCGTGCCTTACGTTTTTGGGGCTGTCTGGGAACGGACTTTCATTCTCCCATCTTCTTACTAAGGTGGCAGGGGAGCCGTTATGGGGCATCTCCTCATGTGGTGTTTCTCTGCCTCTTGCTGTCCTCCCCTTTGCCCGGAGCCCAAAAGCATCAACCTGGGTGCATTAGCAAGATATTCATGATGAAAAAAAAAGAAAAGAAAGAAATAGCGGGAAGCAAAGGCGCAGTGATGGTGAGGAGAAGCTAGAGAAACCAGTGCCACAGTGCCTTAGTTCTGTTCAACATCAGGCTCCTGAGCTCCTTTTTATTCATCCCTTTTGTTTTCCTTCATGGATTTTAGAGAGAGAGGAAGGAAGAGGGAGAAAGATAGAAACATCGATGAGAGAGAACATCGATTGGCCACCTCCTGCATGCCCCCCACTGGGGATCGGGCCCACATCCTGGGCACGTGCCCTGACCGGGAATCGAGCCAGTGACCTCTTGGTGCAGGGTCAACGCTCAACCACTGAGCCACACCGGCCGGGCTATTCATCCATTTTTTAAGCTACCTTACGGGTTTGCTGTTCCCCATTGCTGTGTGTCCTAGCTCTCTGGCTGCTGCTGTGATCTTCACGGTCCCATAGTTGAGGATCCTGTCGGTACCTGTATAGTTAACGGTCACAGGTATTGTCCCCCAGGGCACTCGCTTTCCACAGTCTACTTCCGGTTCTCTGGCTTAACTGTCCCGAGTGAGTCGCAGCCCCTCGTGCACAGCTGTGCACAGTGCATTTCCGTCATAGTGTGAACACACTCTGACAAGGAAGGGGACATCATGCTTCTCTTATTTTTGTCGCCTTCTGATGGCATGATGAGGTTTTACTGTTTACTACCTGTAATTCAAATAAGTGTCAGTATAACCAGTCTAGAGTTTAAAACCAAACGAAGAAGTAGAAAAGATATGGTAAGTTTAAATTGCTGGCTTCTAATACTTGACCTATTGGGGTTCTTTGTGTGTGTGTGTAGGTTTGGAGAAGTTTGTTTTTTAAGGTAAGGTACCAAGTTAATGCTTTCTGTATAAATTTCAGATGAGTTTGGTTTTGAAAGTTAGTGTAGAGCAGGGAAATAGATTTTCTACTAACCAACAACGAGAGATTTTTAAGAGCCTTGGGATGTCACAATTAAAGGTGATGCTTCTGTATGCAGTTTTCTTTTTTTCCAGAAGATTCTATAACTTTTGAATTTGGGCAGAGGAGGGAAGACTGGAATCTGGGGCTAGATGAATTGCCTCTTTCCTTTACCCCAAATTAAAACTTAATTTAAATTAATTTAAGCCCGGCTGCTGTGGCTCAATGGATTGAGCGTCGTCCCATGGACTGAGAGGTTGCGGTTCGATTCCCGGTCAGGGCATATGTCTGGGTCGCGGGCTCCATCCCCAGTAGGGGGCGTGCAGGAGGCAGCTAATCAATGTTTCTCTCTCACATCGATGTTTCTATATCTCTGTCTAAAAAAATCAATTTAAAGAAAACATATTTAAATTAATTTAAACTGCCCATAATTAAAAATTGCCCCAAGACATGCAGTTAAGTGAAGTCCTTCACTTAAAACATGAGAACATGCCCTGGCCAGTTTTGTTCAGTGGTTAGAGCATCGGCCCTGGACCAGAGAGTCCTGGGCTCGGTTCCGCTAAGGGCATGTACCTTGGTTGCAGTTTGTCCCCGGCCCCAGTTTTGGTCATGGAGGTGGCAACCAGTTGATGTGTCTCTCTCACATCGATGTTTCTCTCTCTCTCTTCCTCCCTCTCTCCCTCTCATTCTATCTGAAAATAAAAATGCAAAAATGTCCTCAGGTGAGGATAAACAAAACAAAACAAAACAAAAACATGAGAACGTGGTTTATAATGACTAGTTCGAAAAGCCATACTGTGTCCGGGCATGTCTTAAATATTTCGTTACAGATGCGGCCCACTAATCAACCTTTGTAAAGGCCCCCACGTAAGACACACTGGGAAAATTAAAGCCATAAAAATTATCAAGGTAAGGATTTATTACTTTTAATATAGCAGACTTAAGGTGAACTAGATAATTAGGAACATCAATCATATCTTTTATAATCTGAACATCGTGCTATTTAAAAACAACACTTCATTATTTGACTTTTACATGGGCTTCTAAAAATACCATAATTTTTTTTCTTTTTTTAGAATTTTGATCATTAGGCCATTATATGTAGCTTTTCATTTTCCTTTAGCATGACTGTCTTAGGGTGCATTTCTTTTTCACACGCTATTTTATGATTTTGCCGTGTGCGCCGGTTTCCTCGAATCCCGAATGTGAGCATGAACACCTGTCTGCATGGAGGCTGTGTACTGTGGGAGAGAGAAGCAGAGGGGGCATGGTGGCGATAGGAGAGGACGTTGCCCTGGGAAACAAGAGGCATGAGACTGAGTTTGTAGCCCTGGTTGTTCAGGGCCTTGGCTTTCCCGCAGTAGATGAGGTTGAGGACAGCGGGCATTAACCATCCTCGGTGGGTCGGCAGGGTGGGCGGAGCCTGACTTCCTGAGTCTTCGGCTCTGCTGCTCCCCTCTTGGTGATCACAGCTGCTGTGTAGCTTTCCCTTCTTCTTCTTCTTTGTTAGTCCTCAGCTGAGGACATTTTTCCATTTATCGTCAGATAGTGGGAGGGAGAGGGGGGAGAGAGAGAAACATCGATGTGAGAGAAACTCATCAACAGGTGGCCTCCCGCATGACCTGACCAGGGCTGGGGACAAACTACAACCGAGGTATGTGCCCTTGACTGGAATTGAACCCACAACTCATTGATCTGAGGGCTGATGCTCTAACTGGTGAGCCAAAATGGCCAGGGCATAGCTTTCCTTTCTTTCTACTCTTTCACTTTTCATTCCCAAAACCCATAGTCGACTCTTGACATATAATTTACCGATGGATGTGAACTGAGAAGGTGAACTGAGAAGGTTTAGTTAGAACCAACTTAAGAGTCTTCTCAGTGCTATAAAAAGTCTCTGTTTCCTGGCTGGTGTGGCTCAGTGGTGGAGCATCGACCCTGCACCAAGAGGTCGACAGTTCGATTCCTGGTCAGAGCACATGTCCAGGTTGTGGACACAGTGCGGGGCATGCAGGAGGCGGCCTTGATATTCTCTCTCATCGATGTTTCTGTCTCTCTCTCCCTCTCCCTTCCTTTCTCTTTAAAATCAATAAAGAAAAAATATTTTTTAAAAAGTCCCCATTAAGTAAGCTATGTTGCTGTTCTATTGGAAAATTGTGTACACATTTATTTTAATATGTTTTTATTGATTTTTTAGAGAGAGAGGAAGGAAGAGAGAGAAAGAAGCATCGATGAGAGAGAGGAACATCAATCAGCTGCCTCCTGCACGCCCCCTACTGAGGATTGAGCCTGCAACCCAGGCGTGTGCCCTGACCGGGAATCAAACTGGGACCTCTCAGTCCACGGGACTGTGCTCAATCCACTGAGCCACACTGGCCAGGCAAAAAATTGTGTACATATTAAGACTGATTTTATTTGTAACCAAATGTTAGATATGCTGACCAAAATGTTGTTTGATGTTTAGAATTCGTCGACATACTGGGAGGACAATCCTGAGATGGAAACGCTGCAGAGGGTCTATGGGATATCCTTTCCCGATAACAGGATGATGAAAACCTGGGAAAAGTCCCAGGAGGAAGCCAAGAACCGCGATCACAGGAAGATCGGGAAGGTAGGCCGTGCATCCTAATCACTGCTGATATGGGACGTTCATTTGTTGGCTTACGATTAGGTCTCAAAACTAAATTGTTGAAAAATAATATTTCTTCTCTGTTCATTTTGCTGGCACTCAGGGTTTGCTGATAAGTTCTTTCATGTGAATACCCCAGTGTCTTCTAACCGCTTTCCTTCCTGTATCATTATATTTGAGTTTTAAAAATGGCGCCCTCACTCTGGCCAGTTTTGCTCAGCAGTTAGAGCGTCGGCCTGCGGGCCAGAGAGACCCGGGTTCGGTTCCCGCTAAGGGCATGTACCTCGGTTGCAGTTTGTCCCCGGTCCTGGTTGGTCGTGCGGGTGGCAGCCACTCGATGTGTCCCTTTCACGTTGATGTTTCTCTCTCTCTCTCTCTTCCTCCCACTCTATATGAAGATAAATGGAAAAATATCCTCGAGTGAGGATTAAATAAATAAATAAATAAATATGACGCCCTCACTCTGGCCAGTTTGGCTCAGTGGTTAGAATGTCACCCTCGGACCAAAGAGTATTGGGTTCGATTCCAGTCAAGGATGCGTACCTCAGTTTCGGTTTAGCCCCAGCCCTGGTCGGGGTCGTGCAGGAGGCAACCAATCAATGTATCTCTCTTGCATCAATGTTTCTCTCTCTCTTTCTCTCTTTTCCTTCCTCCCTCCTTCCCACTCTATCTGAAGATAAATGGAAAAATATCCTTGGGAGAGTCTTTAAGAAAATAAAAAAATAAAAATGGCACCCTTTTCTCATTTTTATCATGGTATAAAAATAAAGATTTTTTAAAATGTATTTTTATTGATTTTTAGAGAGACGGTAGGATAGGGAGAGAGAGAGAAAAACATGGTTGTGAGATGGAAACATGGATCGGCTGTCTCCTGCACGCCCCCTACTGGGGTTCGAGCCTGGAACCCAGACGCGTGCCCTGACCTGTAATCAGACCGGCGACCTGTCTGTGCACAGGATGGTGCTCAACCAACAGAGCCACACTAGCCAGGGTCAGCGTTGTTTTTTTGTGTTTTTTTTTATCTTTACCCAAGGACATTTTTCCATTTTTTGTTCAGATTGAGTGGGAGGGAGAGAGAAAGAGATAAACATCGACGTGAAAGGGACACATCGAGTGGCTGCCACCTGCACGACCCAACCAGGGTCGGGGACAAACTGCAACCAAGATACGTGCCCTTAGTGGGAACCGAACCCGGGTCTCTCTGGCCCGCAGGCCTACGCTCCAACCGCTGAGCCAATCTAGCGAGGGCTAAATGTTGTGTTTAAACTTGTGCATACTTGGAGAACATACTGTGTATTTGGGAAGCAGAGCACAAAGGAAGAATGTGATTTGACAGAAGGCAGACCTGGGTTTGTCCCAGTCTGCCACTTACGAGCTGTGTCTGTGCTGGGCCTGGCACTCCCTCATGGACTCCATGTCCCCATCTCTTGCTGGGCAGCCTGCAGGACTGATGCGAGGCAGGTGCTGGCTGGTGGTGGCCACATGGGCTAGGCTCTCAGCACGTGTGAACCAAGACGATGGCCGCTGTCACTCAGCCGCCCTCCAGCACTGAGCATTCTTGATCTTTTTGCCATGTCTTCTCCCCATGACATGCGTCCTCCAAGGCACCAGGTCGCCTGACCGGTGTGCTCAGTGGTTGAGTGTCAACCCTGCACCAAGAGGTCGCCAGTTCGATTCCCGGTCAGGGCTCATGCCCAGGTTGTGGGCCTGATCCCCAGTGGGGGGCATGCAGGAGGAGGCCAGTCGATGTTCTCTCTCCTCGATGTTTCTATCTTTCTCTCCCTCTTTCCTTCCTCCCTAAAAATTAATAAAGAAAACAAACATGCCAAGTAAGAAAGTAGCAGTAAATCAAAGGTGAAATAAACGCTAAGGTCAAAGCTTAGTGACCACAAATACCACCTGTAATTTCCCATGCGCTATTACATATAGTTAGATTTAAGTATTGAGGGACTTTGGATTGTCAATTATTGGGAAATGGAAATGATAACTGAGTATATATTTTATTTCTAGCATACCTTGTGGACAGTAACCATTAAGCCACACAGTGAAATTTGAAATCCTGTTGTTTTATTCTAGGATCAAGAACTTTTCTTTTTCCACGACCTGAGTCCTGGAAGCTGTTTCTTCCTTCCCAGAGGAGCCTTCATCTATAATACACTTGTGGATTTCATACGAGTAAGTGAATTTCCAAACTATTTTATTCTTTTTTTTAATCCTGACCTGAGGACATTTTTCTCTTTATCTTCAGATAGAGTGGAAGGAGGAAAAGAGAGAGGGAGAGAGATACATTGATGTGAGAGAGACACATCCATTGGTGGCCTCCTGCACAACCCCAACCAGGGCAGGGACGAACCGCAACTGAGGTCCGTGCCCTTGATTGGAATTGAACCCGAGACTCATTCGTCTGCGGGCCGACACTCTAACCACTGATCTAAACCGGCCAGGGCTAAACTATTTTATTCTTATTCAGCTCCATTTTGCATTTGACTATTTTCTTTCATAGTAAAATGGTCAAGCATTTCCCTTCATTTTATTTTAGCAATATTAAGAATTTTGGCCCAGCCTGTGTGGCTCGGTGGTTGAGCATTGCCCCATGCACCAAAAGGTCTCCGGTTCTGTTCCTGACCAGGGCACATGCCTGGGTTTCAGGCTCGATCCCCAGCAGGGGGTGTGCAGGAGGCAGCTGATCCATGTTGATGTTTGTCTCTCACTGATGTTTTTCCTTCTCTGTCTCCCTTCCTCTCTCTCTGAAAATCAGTGAAAATCATATTTTAAAAAATAAAAGAATTTTGAACCTAATAGAGAAATACCGGATTGTGCCTTCTCCTAAAGACATTGAGATAGTTTGTATTTATTTCCCCCCAAGTTAAGTGCATGCTTGGATTTTCTGTCACGTCTCTATGTGCACAGAGCTTCTAGAGCACGTGCACCACGAAGAGAACCCGGAGAGCCGTGTGGGCTCCTCGTGAGGAGAGGAAGGCGGAGGGGCCGTGTCTGGCACAGATGCTAACTACGAAGCCCTGCTTCTCAGCCCACGTCCCGGGTCCCTGCTGCCCCTCTGCCGTGGCGTGGCTGCAGGGACAGAGAGGAGCTGAGCCTGTGCAGTGCTCACCTAGTGCGACTCGTCGGCGAGAAGCCTGCCGAGCCTGGTGCGGGTGATGCCGAGAGGCGGGCCGTGAGGACGCCGGGATTGCGTTTCCTTCCTCGCGCTCCTCTTGTCTTTCCTCTAATTAATCAAATCCTACAGGTTTCACCTACTCAGTTTCCTGAGTGCCTGTCACTAACGTCTTCCTCTCTCCGCCGAATCCCTTGTCGCCTCTTCTGGCGACTTGGGTAATCTCTTTGTAAACTTTCCCTTTCAAGTTTGGTCTTCTCGCTCCAGAACGATGTCTTACGACTTCTTTTCCTCATCTTCCTGGCTACTCCCCTCATCTCTTCCGATGCTGATTCTCTGCTTTCCTGACGCCGTGTCTTCCTGTGCCTTGCTTGTCCCTCTCACCCGGGGAAGCACTTTCTTCAAGAACTTCCCGAGGACAGTTCATGGCATGTGCGGTCCTCTCTGAGTCACTGGTCTTGCTTGTCCCTTTCTTTTCTCGAGCTGGGCCCCTGGGAGCTGACCTTGTAGACTGTCCCTGGGGCTGCTTACCTTTCATAGGGATGGGCCAGCTGAGGCCTAGGAGGAGCTCAGAGGCAGGGAGGCGAGACTTGAAGACTCGCTGTGTACCGGAGACTCCGGCAGGTGGAGATGCCACCCTAACTACAGTTCCGAATGCACTGTCTTGGCTGGGAAGTCGGCACAGCCCCTGGCACCTTGGGCTAACCTGGGGTCAAGTGTGCGGAGAGGAAACAGAAAGCCCCTGTGGCGGCCTCAAAGGAATCTCTTATCTCTTATAGATGCAACACAGGCATGGCTGGTCTGGCCCAGGCCTGGCTGTGTGAGTCGCAGAGGTACACAGCCATTTAGACACAGCCCTGGTCTCTTGTGCTAAGGTAAGGGCGCTGGCGGGAAGGACTGGGCCCTGAGTCTTGGAATGGGAATATTTGGCAGACACCGGTGAAGTGGATAACGGTGAACTTCCAGACACCCTTGTCTGAAGAAATTCGCTTTTCCATGCAACACACACACACACACAGCTATAAAAACCTTACAGGGGCTTTAACTGTTTTTTCCTTGGTTTTCTGTGGTCTGGCCTCTTCCCGTGTCTGGTGATTTGCTGTTAACATGCGAGGTGTGTGTACACACAGCTCCAGGGGCTCTGAGGTCAGACAGCTGGACGACGAGGGCCCGGTCCTGCTGGCCCTGGGCTGGGTCTGCCCGGTCGGTCACCGTTCCTTTCCCAGGAGGTGGCCCGTGGGTGCCACTGGGAAGCTTCCTCTGTTCTCAGTGCAGGGTTTCTGCATGAATAGACACTTTCATTCCACTTGGGTAAATACCAGGAGTGTGACTTCAGGGTCACAGGGCACATTTCTGTTGCTCTCTGTAGGAAAACGCCCACTGTTTTCTAAAGTGGCCATTATTGTATATTTCCACCTGGAGTGTGTGAGGGTTCCTTCTAAAACTCTTCGACACACCCTCTGAGTTTGTGTGTCTGGAACCACGGAGTGTGGGGGGCGGTGGTTCCCCTCGGAGAATGTTTGCTTCCTGTTCCCACAACGTTGGATTCAGTGCGTTTCCAAACCAAACTTGTCTTCGCAGACATACAGTGTCTGAGACATTGACGTCCTGTGCAGAGAATCCTGACAGGACACAGAGTTTAACTGAAGAGCATCTAGAGAAGGGAATATTTACAGGCGTGGGCGTGGGCGTGGTTAGGGTGACTCACAAGGGACGGTGGAGTACCTGGGGATTGCCAACAGCAGGTGTCCCTTAGCCCCACCCTGGGCCTGAGCAAGTGAGGAGAGAGAATAGTGTTACCGGAACCAGGAGAGAGCTTGAAGCCGTGGAAGCGAGGCCACCAACAGAGGCTAGGCCTGGAGGTCCCAGCCCAGAGCAGAATAAACCCAGGGCAAGGGCAGGGGAGGGGGAGGAATGTTCTGACCTCTCCCTTCCCCTGTCCTCTGAACCCTTTTAGAGCCTCTCCTTGGTCAAACTCAGGCAGAAGTTAGGAGGCAAGTAAGCCAGTGATGTAGTCCACAGAAGATAGCCTTTGGGGACACAGCAGGGCACTGAGGACAGAATAATGGGTCAGCATGGGGCAGGACGGGTGCGAATGGAGAAGAACCAGCTCAGCCCGTCCCGTCCGTTACTCAGAGCCCATCTGTGCCCTTTGCTTGGATGAAGACACGTGTTTCTTCGCCCAGAGTCCACCGGCCAGTGTATCATCATGGGACGGTGTCAGTTCAGTTCACTGAAATCTGAATTGTGACGTTACACTACCAGCGCTCAGCAGTGTTACCGGGAAAAGAAATAATTAAATGCAGTGGTTCCAGCCCCCGCCTCTGTCAGTGGGCACGAGGCCTGAGCTGGTACATCAGAGCTGCCTTCTTCCACCACCCAGTCCATGTTCCCTTTTCCTGCCAGCCCCTCAGATGGGCAGTGTTTTACATGGGTGTTCATTTCCTAGGATGTCTGACAAAGGACCGTACGCTGAGTGGCCCGAAGCAGCAGGGATGTCTCGTTTCGCAGGTGGTCTGATAAACGGAGGCCGGAAGTGTGCAGCCGGGGCCTGGGCAGAGCCATGTGCCCTCTGGCCCGGGAGGGACACCACCCTCCCTTGCCTTTTCCTGGCCGGGGCGGGTCGCAGGCATGTGGTGTTCCTCGGCCTGCCAGTGCCCCCCGAGTCTTCTGTCTTCACGTGGCATCCTCCGAGCGTCGTCACCTCTTCCCGCCACATGTCTGTCTCTCTGAACTTCTCTCGTGTGAGGACACCAGTCACACTGGATTAGGGCCCACTCCAGTGACCTCCTCTTCTCTCGATCACCTCTATAAAGACTCTCCTTTTGCCCTGGCCGGTTTGGCTCAGCGGTTAGAGCGTTGGCCTGCGGTCCAGAGAGACCCGGGTTCGGTTCCCGCTAAGGGCACGTACCTCGGTTGCAGTTTGTCCCCGGCCCTGGTTGGGTCGTGCGGGTGGCAGCCACTCTATGTGTCCCTTTCACGTCGATGTTTCTCTCTCTCTCCCCCTCCCACTCTAGGCTGAACAAAAAATGGAAAAATGTCCTTGGGTGAGGATTAAAAAATAAAAGACTCTCTTTTCAATTAAGGTCACATTCTGAGGTTCTGGGGGCTAGGGCTCCAACATATCTTTCTGGGGGATACACTTCAATCCATAATAGTGGACGACCTTAGTCTTCCTCCCAAAGGATCTGTGTTCTTACTGACCCTGTCCTTAGGGGGTTGCTAGGGTTCTCCACTGACCATTGTTGGAAATGCTTGAGGCTCCCCCACATTCCAGACATAGTCCTTCTTGTCTACTCTGTAACAGCAGCACAGTCTCCCCCAGTAATTGGGGTCCGTCATACTGGCCAGAGCAAGTCATTCTCTGCCTGTTGCTTCAGTAGCATAGGGAGCCCCAAATGTGCAAGGGACTGTCTCAGCCCCCTACAGAGGTATGTCTGGATTTTTTTTTGGTGAAAGCATTCTTTCCTTGGGCACCAGGGCACATTATCGAGAGACCCCAAAGCTTTAGAGATAAAGAAAATATTCTAAAAGTTTCCAGAGAGAAAAGGCCATAGACATAGCACTAGGTATCAGAAAGGCAATGAAATTTCCCGTGAAAATACTACAAAATAGAAGACGGAACTCGTGCCTTCACAGTGTGGATCCTAGACATTTCCATCAGCTGAAGTGGGCTGGGTGGGCCTCTCCCGCTTAGTCTCGGCTTCCCCAGGCCTGTCAGGTGGTCTGCACCTGCTTCCCAGAGTCCTAAGTGTGTAACTCTCAGCTCTTCTCCTTCGTCTTTGGCCTTGCAGATTTATGCTTTTATAATTACTATACATATAGTATTTTAATTGCTAATGGTCAAATAATTAAAACATGTACTATACACTACTGTGTCCTGTAAAATAAATATACATAATGCGAAAAATTATTCTGAGCACACGTTAATCTTCCATGATCCTGAAGGTGCAACACCTAAAACCGAGGGCACGTTAATGACGAGTTAATGTAAGATAGTCCCGAGTTGAAACGATTCGCTCACCGGAGTACTTTGCACAGCCTTGTGATCTGTCAGAGCAGATTTGAACTTGAAATGCATTTTCTTAAAGGAGGAATATCACCACCGTAACTTCACGGAAGTGCTCTCTCCCAACGTGTACAACAGCAAACTCTGGGAAGCCTCGGGCCACTGGCAGCATCACAGCGAGAGCATGTTTACCTTTGACATTGAGAAAGACACTTTTGCCCTTAAACCCATGAATTGTCCAGGGCACTGGTGAGTATTAAAAGTCAAGCAGCCCTGGCTGGTGTGGCTGTTTATTGGTCTTCGTCCCGTGCACCAAGAGGGGCCGGTTTGATTCCCGGTCAGAGCACATGCCTGGGTTGCAGGCTTGATCCCCGGGAGGGGGCGTGCAGGAGGCAACTGATTGATGTTTCTCTCTCACATTGATGTTTCTCTCTCTCTCTCAAAATCAATAAAAATATATATGTATATTTTTAAAGTCAAGCAGATCTTTGCATACGAGTGCGTAGCTCACTTCATCACAGTTGGCTCTCAGTATTACATGTTTTGCTTTTTGGAGTTAAGTGATTCCTTTAACCTGAAGAATGTCCATTGCTAGTCATCTTTTTCAAATCATTTCCTTCTGGAGAATGAATTTACTATTTAAAATAGGTTTGATCTTTGGCAGGTATGCAATGTTAGCTGGAAACCATTTAATTTTTTATGCTTCTTGGAGATAATATGATGTGTCAGTTTTATAAATTATAGTATTTCTCTTCATAATAATAATACACTTCAAATATACATATTTGCCAAACATTTAGTTCTGATGTGTTGTTTAGGTTGATTATAACAAGACCGGTGAGGTCATAATGCGCTACTGGGTTTCACTGATTCCAAGATAACTTTCCTCCCACATTTCAACATCTTTGAAATTGGGGTGCATCTACCATTGGGGGTATCCTAGCATTATGTGATAATTTAATTAATGGGCTTTTCCCCTCAGTGGTACATAAAATAATGGTGCATGTTTCAGTCAGTGTTGTCTTAGACTCTATGAAAGATTATAATTACCATAAAGTTGGCACGATTCTGCTCAAAATATTATCTGTTATTGTAGTTTTGCATCACCAACATACATAGTTTCAAGTCAGTTGACCTTAGAAGGTAACTATTCAGACAAACTCTGAGCCCTGAAGAAAGTTCTTTGCCCTGCCAGTGAAGACCCAGAGCCCAGCCTTATGCTGACAGCATGTACAGTGCATTCACCTTCAGTTTTCTGGAAACAGAGGGCAGGCTGTGTGCTCACAGCGCTTGGTGCGCGAAGTGCAGAGGTGACCAATGCAGAGGTCCCTGCGCCACTGCTCCTCGGGAACAGGTGCATAGAAAGGCAGTCGCAGGAGAGGAAGAGCAGTGTCGAAGCAGTGCATGTCCCAGGCCCTCCTGGGGAGTGTCCGAGGGCATCACTGAGGCAGCAGCTTTGGAATGAACTGGGAGGGTGAACGGGCACAGGCAGCAGTGTTGCCAGGCAGATGACAGACAGGGTGCTGGGCGCCACAGTGGCGTGAAGCCAAGGTTCAGTGACCCCTCGGAGAAGTGCTCTAAACTCGTGATCTGAGAACCAGAACGAACCGTGGGCGTATCTTGAGGCTTAAATGTAATTTGTTGATATCTCGATGACTCATCTTTTCTACGCTAAGGAAAAGCTGTGTGTTGCTGCATCTTTTCCAGTCTCATGTTTGCCCATCGGCCGCGATCTTGGAGGGAAATGCCCATTCGATTTGCTGACTTTGGAGTTCTTCATAGAAATGAGCTGTCGGGAACTCTAAGTGGCTTGACCCGAGTGAGACGCTTCCAGCAGGATGATGCTCACATCTTCTGCACTGTGGAGCAGGTGAGCAGTCGCACCGGGCGGGCGTGGCGCAAGGCCAGTGGGCGCCTGGGTCTCTCAGTCTAACAGTACCTGTCAGTCCTTCAGCATTGCCGTCTGCGGTCTTATTCAGTGCTCACACTTTGGGATTCTCAGATTTGGGTCATAGATCGGTAATCTCTTGACATGGAATTGATTACTTTTTTCTTATAAGCTTCCTCCAGTTCTATTAACTTCAACACATGAAGTCGAATAGCTTAAGGGATTTGGTAGAATTTTGGACGTTTCTGTGTTTCAACATTGGGTAGAAGTTAGAGTTTACTTTTTGCAAGTTTTCCTGTAATTCGGGCTACTGTCAAACCATTTGACCTAATTGACATTTATAGGACTCTCCAATCAATAACACCAGCGTACACATTCTTTGAAAGTGCACAGAGAACACTGACCAAGAGAGACAGTATTCTGGACCATAAAACAGGTCTGAATACATCTAAAAGGATTCAATTTATACAAAATATGTTTTCAATGGAATTAAAGTAGAAATCAATAACAGAAAGCCATCTGGAAAACTCCCAGATATTTGGCAAGTAGATAACACACTTCTAAGCAGCCCGTGTGTCAAAGAAGAAATCAAAAGGGAAATTGGAGAATACAATGTAGCAAATGAAGTGGACAGTGCACGGATTAACCTCGTATCAACAACCTCATATTAACTGTTGCCAATATCGGCCCCGCTTTTGCTCCCACACTTCTCTCTCCTTCTGGACAGCAGGCTGGCCCCAGTGTCCTTTACTTTTCACTCATGTTGAGTTCATCACAAGCCCTATCGATAGCTCTCCCTAAAAAGATGATTCATTCCTGAATAATTTCATTCATTCCCAAATTCCCAGCACCCAGCGCCAGTCCTCAGCACGTGAGTGATCACTATCAGTTAGTGGAGGAAAGAATAGATATTCTGCAAACGCATCAAGTCCTCTGCCTTCCTGATGCTTCTCTCCGGTCTAGGCCACCATCAGCTCATTTCTGCAACCCCACCCACTTCCTAATGGGCCTCTTCTGACCTCGCCAGTGCGTTTCCCATGCTCCAGAAGAACCAATTGGATTGTGTTCATCTGTTTGAAAACAGAAACAGACCCCTTCATTGATTTTCCGTTGCTCTCAGGCTGAAAAGTACAGACTTGACCCTGGCCTTGAAGGCACTTACGTTTCTCTGGCCCATGCCTGACCTCCAGCCTGGTCACCTACCACCTCCCCTGATGGCCCCCTTTTCCATCCGATGGAGCTTGGTCTCATGGCAGCTCCCTGGGGCTCCTCTGTCCTCTGAGCCTTTACGTTGCTTCCGAGCTCCATGGAGGACAGTTCCTGTGCTCCGGCTGCTGCTCAGCCGCCACTTCCTCCGGCAGCTGCCCGTCCCCTCTGTGCGGCACTGGTCACGGTGAGGTGCCCTTGCCTGCTTCTTTGTCCACCCTCTGCACTGGGCGGGGGCCTCTGGCAGCCTGTGCGGGCCTGGCATGTGGTGGGCACTCCATGAATATCCAGGTAAGGAACAATGAACAAGAGCCATGTCATTAACGGTACTCTACAGTAAAAACAGGCTTTGTCTCTATTTGATATAAAGAATATTTTTTATTTTTCAAAAATGCCATAGTGGATTTAACTTGATATTCTAGTTAAACTATTTCATCTGCTCCAATTTCAGATCGCAGAAGAAATAAAGGGGTGTTTGCAGTTTTTGCAATCTGTTTACTCTACATTTGGCCTCTCCTTTCAATTAAATTTGTCGACAAGGCCTGAAAACTTCTTAGGAGAGATTGAGTTGTGGGATGAAGCTGAAACGGTACGTGGGAACAAAGTGCTTACCCTGCGTTCTTGTGACTATGGAGCACACCCCAGGGACTGCAGTTACCTTGTACGAAGATGCTTTGCAGTGGAATTTTAAATTGGTTCTGGGATAGATATGCCAATTGTAGAAGGTAGTCATCCAGTTTTCTTCTTACCAGTGATCATGACAATACCGAACATTTGTTTCACATGCCAATGTTTATGTCAAGATTTGTTCACACTCTCTTCAGTGCCAGTCACTAATAACCAGTGTCATAGCTTTTAGAGCAATCCTCTGGCTCCTCCTTCAGCAGCTCTGGTCTGTCCTAATGGTCCTCTCCTGGTCTGTCCTTGACCATTGGAGGCGATGTAAATGCATCAGCCTCGTGGAGCTGCATTGACTGCACTCCCAATCCTCCCATGCCCCACGTTGACAGAGCTGCAGCGAGCCATTAAAGGTCCCGAAGAACATTACAGCCCTGTGCCCACACAGTTCCAAGCAATTCGATGTGTCTTAGCTCAGCACAGTCTAGACCTCCATTGCTACTGGGAGCTAGAGACTTGGTTTACCTGGGGAAGGACAAGCAGACATCAGGGGAGAAACGAGATCTTGATTTCTCCTTCACCTGGGTGCCAGGCAGCATCCAGGGTCGTCTTGTGAAGTGCAGTGGTTCAGGCTCAACGCCGATCTGCACTTTCTTCACTCCCTTGCATAAACTGAGAACTGTCTTAGCCTATCGGCCCTTCCTGTCCCTGTGTCCTCAGAGTCCCGGTGATGAGCAGCGACCTCTGCTTTATGCTTTCCCCCCAAACCTGGCCTCTGTGTGACTTTTAATTCCCGGAGAGCCCCGGAGTTCTTTCCACACTTGGTTATCTGCTGTAGCAGGGCCTGATTTCCCTGCGAACCCAAACCAGGGTCTCTTCTCTCAGAACAGTAAGGGGGGGGCTCCCTGTCTGTGAAGTACGTCATGGTGAGGGCCTCTGGTCACAGTGGAAGGGAAGCTGCTTCAGGAGGGTTAGGCTCAGGAGGGAGCCTCCCAGGACCTCAGCCAGCACCAGCTCCTGACCCCCTCTGCCTAAGGACCTGGAAAGCCTCCCAGGACCCCACAGTCCGCTTTCTCGTGAACTCTGCTTTGACCCAAGGCACCGTCACTGTTTGACTTCCTGTCAGGCACTTGACCTTCAAATGTCAACCCCCTTCTGGGCATCAGTGTCTTCTGGTGATGGCAGGATTTTGGATGGCGTTTTGGCGGTATTCTGGCCAGGGACTAAGGAATGCCGTGTGCATCCCAAAGGAGCTGTATTTGCGGGGAGTGGCCAGGACCCTCAGAGAACCCTTCGATGAATACTTCTGTGTGCACCCAGTCACCTTCCGGGTGAGCATCTCTGCCAGCTAACGAAAAGAAGACCGAAGACCAAAGGGCCTCCTGCCGCCATGTCCGTGTGAATCCCCCCCCAGCTTCGTGTGCCCCTTGGTCTTGTCCACCTGCACACAGAGTGGTCGAGGGAGCAACCCCAGAGCTCTCCTGCCTTTCCCCGCGCAGAGGCCCTCCTGCAGGAGCTGGTCTGGGAGCTGCCGCGGGGAAGCAGAAGCTGACGAGTGCGTGGGCAGAGGGGACCTGTGTTGGCACAAGGCCGAAGCGTCGCTCCCTCGATGCTTACCTGGGATGCACTGGAACAGTGTAATAAGTTATCTGTTTTCCCACCAAATAAAATGGGGGTGTTGCCTGAAAGCAAGAAGCATCTTAATCATCTTCATGTCGTCCTTGGTCGGTGGTTTATTGATTGCAAAAGATGCTCAATAAATAGACGTTGAGGCTGACTGGTGTGGCTCAGTGGTTGAGCATTGACCCAGGCACCAAGAGGTTGCTGGTTCGATTCCCAGTTAGGGCACATGCCCAGGTTGTGGGTGGAGCCCTCAGGGGACATGCAGGAGGCGGCCAATTGATGTTGATGTTTCTCTCTCATCCTTCTTTCTCTCTCTCTCTCCCTCTCCCTTCCTCTCTCTCTCAAATCGATAAAAACCGTATTGAAAAATACATATATAGAGAGAACTAAAATAGAATGTAATCAAGATTTGTAAGAACTTACCTTTTCGAGCCAGGGACAGAACATAAAATGTACACTACAGTAGAAGTTTTAAAAGTTCTCTCTCTCTTTCTTTTTTACTAGCAACTGCAGAATAGCTTGATGGAATTTGGAAAACCGTGGAAGATGAACCCTGGGGATGGAGCATTTTATGGCCCTAAAGTAAGCAGACCATATGCTTCAAAAAGTGCAGTCGGAGAGGAAAATAGAAACTGTGTCTAAGCAAACATCATTTAATTTGCAGATTGATATAAAAATCAAGGATGCTCTTGGCAGGTACCATCAGTGTGCCACCATCCAGCTGGACTTCCAGCTCCCCATCAGATGTAATCTCACATACGTGAGGTGAGTGATTGAACATGATGAATAATGCGGTACTGACGTCCCAATCCTTAGTCACTGGTGAGTGTTGCGAGTTCTTTATAGATAGAAGCGCTTTGATGTGTATATGATCTGGAATATTTTCTTCTAATCTATAGCTTCTTTTTTATTTTTTTAATATATTTTTATTTATTTAATTTTATTTTTTTAGATAGAGAGGAAGGGAGATGAGAGAGAGAGAGAGAAACATTGATTGGCCGCCTCCTGCACATCCAGTACTGCGGATTGAGCCTGAACCCAAAACAAACCTGGGCATGTGTCCTGACCAGGAATCAAACAAGCAGTCTCTTGGTGCATGGGATGATGCTTAACCACTGAGCCACACCAGCCAGGCCTTTGTTTCATTTTTTATAGTGTTTTAACTATAATGTCTAATTTACATACTTTTTCTTTTATGGATCAAGTTTTTTGGCATCATGTCTACAAACTGCCTAAGCACAGGTAATGAAGATTTCCCCTACGTTGTTGTTTTTTTAAACCCTCACCCAAGGATATTTTTCCATTGTATTTTTTTTAGATAGAATGGGAGGGAACAAGGGTGGAAGAGAGAGAGATATCAATGTGAGAGAGACACACTGATTGGCTGCCTTCCACATGACCCTGACGGGCCAGGGATCGAACCTGCACCTGAGGTACGTGCCTTTGACCGGGGATCGAACCCTTGACCTTTGGTCTGTGGGCCAACACTCTAACCACTGAGCCAAACCGGCCAGGGCTAAAATACAACATTTTAAGTCTTGCCCAAACCGTGCCAGACTTTGCCATTGGTGGTTCTTTAGTGTTGGCTCCTGTGTTCCTTTGACATGCTCCATCCTTTCTCTTTCTTTATTAAGAAAAAAAATATTGGCACATCTTGGCTCACTGGCTCTGCAAGAGACTGCAGGCTCATTTGTATTTCCCTTGACCCAGCTTGCGAACCAGCCATTTTTCCAACGAGCAATGGAATTTTAGAAGTGAAAACTGCAATAAATACAGCATTGGAGAATCGTGCATAGAAACCAAGATCTGGGTCCTAGGGAGACTTACCTTGCTTTTCCTGGATAATGTGTCTCATTTCCCTTTGGCTTCTTTATTTTCCCCCCTTTGGTTTATAAAAGATATAATGAGAAGGAAACATCATTTCTAGCAAAGGGCACAGTTTATGCTTAAAGATTTATGAGGAACCCACTGTTTTACATAGTTTGGGAAAACAACTTCTGAATGTAAGGTGAGAAGATACAGTCACCACTGTGCTGCTTTCACTTTCAGTAAGGAAGGGGATGACAGGAGGAGGCCCGTGATCATTCATCGAGCCGTTCTGGGCTCCGTGGAAAGAATGACCGCCGTTCTGTCAGAGCACTATGGGGGGAAGTGGTAAGTGACATGGCAAAGAAACTATATCTGTTATTCTTTAAACTCATGCCTCAAACCTAAAATTCATGTGGAAAAATTGGTGGCTCCTGCCTCATAATTAGCAAGTATCCAAACAGCAAATAAAAAATTCTTATTACATCTGCCAAACCAGGAAACGAGGGCAGAGCGACCTGAAACCGTCTCACTTACCTTTGGGGAAACTCAGTAGAATGATAGGGTTATCTTCTCACCATTTCGAGCCCTTCGGGTTCCTGCCGGGAACACATACGGCCCATGCGCCCAGGGTGCCACCTCCGGCCATGCTGCCACCCCTCCGTCCGCCCAGGTTGTTCACCTCGTGGGCGCCCTGTGGCCATTCACCTTGGAGGAGACCCTGGTGCACGAAGGGCCCTGAACAATGCGTTAGCACAGATCCAAAGAGAACTGCTACCGTAGCACAGACCGTTCCAGGGTGAAGTGGGCAAGGTCAGTGCCCTCCAGTGCAGGATTCTGAGTGGTCCACCTTGTTGTCTTCTTTGACTGGAAGGAAAGATGGCCCGAGGCATGGGGGTGACAGTGACACCTGGGCTCTGGTTATCGCTTTGGCTCCAAGGTCAGACTAAGACGTAATTTGACGGGAAAATAGAGGGCAAGGAGATTTGGGGGAGAGGAATGGGATGATGGCTCAGAGTGGGCCATGAGGGTGTACTGCCCACTCAGAGGCCCCCACTGGGAGGAGATTGCAGTATTGAAGTACAAGAGGACCGTTCTGTTATCATCAGCACCTTTTCCCCCCTAGTGATAGTGCAGTGATGAACAAAGTGACCACTCGAGGACATGCGTGAGCTCGGCAGCACGGGCCCCACGAGTCCCGTCTGCTAGGCCTCTCGTGGGACACACGTGAGCTCGGCAGCACGGGCCCCACGAGTTCCGTCTGCTAGGCCTCTCGTGGGACGTGCGTGAGCTCGGCAGCTAGGCCTCCCGTGGGACATGCGTGAGCTCGGCAGCACAGGCCCCACGAGTCCCGTCTGCTAGGCCTCTCGTGGGACATGCGTGAGCTCGGCAGCACGGGCCCCACGAGTCCCGTCTGCTAGGCCTCTCGTGGGACATGCGTGAGCTCGGCAGCACGGGCCCACGAGTCCCGTCTGCTAGGCCTCCCGTGGGACGTGCGTGACCTCGGCAGCACGGGCCCACGAGTTCTGCTAGGTTTCTTCTGAAGACTCCATCTGCCATCAGCAGTGATCAGTCCTGAGCCCTCACATGACATCACAGCCCCAAGGGAACAGCCACCTCTCCTGTGGCAGGTTGATGACATTGGGTCCCTTTCATCCTGCAAGGGTCAAGGAGGTGTCCTTGCTGGAAAAGACACCCACTCTGAGTTTGCTTTGCTCTTCTTTTCTGCCGTGCCTCTGCTGGTGCTGAGCCTAGGCCCTGTCGGGAGCCAGCAGTCCTGTGGAGTAATTTTTTAGCAAAAGAAGTAAGGCGCTGAGCGGACATTGTGGGTTTCACTAGTGTGGTTAAGGGGTGTTCAGCCCTTCCGCCTATCTTCCGACCCATTCTTCCCTCCCTTGCCTATCAAAACTCGTTTCCCCTTGTCTACTCTACTGCCTTTAGCTTCGTAGAATTTGGTTTACTTACCGCTCTACCGAATCTGCTCTTATAAAATCCCACTTTAAAAAAGTACTTGGTGCCCTGGCCAGTTTGGCTCAGCGGTTAGAGCGTCGGCCTACGGTCTGGAGAGAACTGGGTTCAGTTCCCACTAAGGGCATGTACCTCGGTTGCAGTTTGTCCCTGGCCCTGGTTGGGTCATGCGGGTGGCAGCCACTCGATGTGTCCCTTTCATGTGGATGTTTCTCTCTCTCTCTCTCTCTTCCTCTCTCCCTCCCATTTTATCTGAACAAAAAATGTAAAAATGTCCTCAGGTGAGGATAAAAAAAAAAAAGTACTTGGTTATTTTAAAATCATGTAATAAATGGTCATTCTGAAAATACATCTTTTTATATTTCTCAGGCCTTTCTGGCTGTCTCCTCGTCAGGTAATGGTCATCCCTGTGGAGCCAACTTGTGACAAATACGCACTTCAGGTAAAATTGGAGACATTTAAAATTTAACGCACATAACAATCTTGGCATCTAGTGTGTGAAGGTTATTAACTTGAAATGTATTCATGCCTTAAAATACTGCATAACTAGCATTCATTTACCAACCCATGCTTTCAGCCATTGGGAGTAACACCTGAATCCTTATTTCTTAATGTCTTTGAAGAATTACTATTTTAAAACATCTCACATTTAAGTTATTCTTTTCCATGTGGCTCTATTTGGGTAAAACACTTATATTATCTATTGCTTTGGAATAAATTACCCCACAACTGAGCAGCTTAAAACAGCAAACATTTATTATCTCAGTTCCTGAGATCAGGATCTGGGAGCCGCCGGGCTGGGTGGTTCTGGCTCAGGGCGCCCTGGGGGCTGCAGTGCTAGACTCACTCCCGTCGTTGGAGGCCTCGTCCCACAGGTGGCCGGCATGTCCTCCCAACACGGCAGCTGGCTTCCCCGGAGGGTGAGCTGCAGGGGTGGACCTGCAGGGCTCACTCCTCTGAGAAGCGACATGCCGTCACTCCTCACCTGGGTCACGCAGACCCAGCAGCACCGTGTCAGGGACTGGCGGAGGCTGTGGGCCCTCTCGGAGGTTGGCTGACGTCCACACTGTAATAACAGAGCGTTTTATACTTCGCAGGTGTGCAGTGCACTTTTTGAAGAAGGATTCATGGCCGATGTCGATTTGGATCGTAGCTGCACTCTAAATAAGAAAATCTGCACTGCCCAGGAGGCTCAGTATAATTTTATTTTGGGTAATTTAAGTTTGTGTCTATTCTCCTAAATGCTTGTTTTTTGCACTTTAATTCCAAAAGCCAAAGTAAAGAATGTGGTATAACTACTTGAGTACACCATGTCAGTTTAATTGTTGGTATAACTACTTGAGTACACCATGTCAGTTTAATTGTTGGTATAACTACTTGAGTAAACCATGTCAGTTTAATTGTTGGTGTACCTACTTGAGTACACCGTGTCAGTTTAATGGTTGGTGTAACTACTTGAGTCCACCATCTCAGTTTAATTGTCGGTGTACCTACTTGAGTGCACCATGTCAGTTTATGTCAGTTTAATTGTTGGTGCACCTACTTGAGTACACCGTGTCAGTTTAATTGTTGGTGTACCTACTTGAGTGCACCGTGTCCGTTTAATTGTTGGTGTACCTACTTGAGTGCACCGTGTCCGTTTAATTGTTGGTGTACCTACTTGAGTGCACCGTGTCAGTTTAATTGTTGGTGTACCTACTTGAGTGCACCGTGTCAGTTTAATTGTTGGTGTACCTACTTGAGTGCACCGTGTCAGTTTAATTGTTGGTGTACCTACTTGAGTACACCGTGTCAGTTTAATTGTTGGTGTACCTACTTGAGTACACCGTGTCAGTTTAATTGTTGGTGTACCTACTTGAGTACACCGTGTCAGTTTAATTGTTGGTGTACCTACTTGAGTACACCGTGTCAGTTTAATTGTTGGTGTACCTACTTGAGTGCACCGTCTCAGTTTAATTGTCGGTGTACCTACTTGAGTGCACCATGTCAGTTTAATTGTCGGTGTACCTACTTGAGTACACCGTGTCAGTTTAATGGTTGGTGTAACTACTTGAGTACACCATGTCAGTTTAATTGTTGGTGTACCCACTTGAGTACACCATGTCAGCTTAATTGTTGGTGTAACTAGAGTACACCATATCAGTTTATGTCAGTTTAATTGTTGGTGTAACTACTTGAGTACACCATGTCAGTTTAATTGTTGGTGTACCTACTTGAGTACACCGTGTCAGTTTAATTGTTGGTGTAACTACTTGAATGCACCATGTCAGTTTGTCAGTTTAATTGTTGGTGTAACTACTTGAGTGCACCGTGTCAGTTTAATTGTTGGTGTACCTACTTGAGTACACCGTGTCAGTTTAATTGTTGGTGCACCTACTTGAGTACACCGTGTCAGTTTAATTGTTGGTGTAACTACTTGAGTACACCGTGTCAGTTTAATTGCTGGTGTACCTACTTGAGTACACCGTGTCAGTTTAATTGTTGGTGTACCTACTTGAGTACACCGTGTCAGTTTAATTGTTGGTGTAACTACTTGAGTACACCGTGTCAGTTTAATTGCTGGTGTACCTACTTGAGTACGCCGTGTCAGTTTAATTGTTGGTGTACCTACTTGAGTACACCGTGTCAGTTTAATTGCTGGTGTACCTACTTGAGTACACCATGTCAGTTTAATTGCTGGTGTACCTACTTGAGTACGCCATGTCAGTTGAATTGTTGGTATAACTACTTGAGTACACTGTGTCAGTTTAATTGTTGAATGACTTATACACAAAGGAGAGTGTGGTGTTCCTGGGAAGGCTTTTCCTCCCTACTCTTATTTGCAGAAGAGTTATAAAGTTTCACATGAATCCTGTAGTCTGATGACACAGCCAGAATTAATATCTCAGACCAACGATGGAAAAAAAATGTTAAAATGATCTCATCAGTAGAATTATACCCCTTACATTTCAGCCATGTAATAGGCCTAAAATATTCTCCTTTGCTTTTCTGGCTTATTAGAAATCTTTAGGATTAAATTAATGAGTGGAAAAGGTTACACATTTAAGATGATCAAAAGAAAATAATTAAATGAAAGGAAAAATCCTTTAGGCACATGAATAATTGAGTGAAGAAACTAAAATTTTGACTTTAAAAATGGTTCAAAAACAAGAAAAATTGATACTGCTATGCCTGCAGGCATGATATTATCTCCTATGAGTTGGAGACTGTGTAGAAGGCACAATAAATATGCAGAGTCGCTCTGTCAGTAATTTGTCATCAGAAGTGTTTGGCTTTTGCCCTGGCTGGTTCTGCTCAGTGGTTAGAGCATCAGCCCTTAGACTGGAGTCTCAGGTTTGATTCCGGTCAAGGGCACGTACCTGGGGTGCAGGTTCCATCCCCAGCCCCTGTCGGGGTCATTCAGGAGGCAACCAATTGATGTGTTTCTCTCACATCAGTGTTTTTCTCTCTGTCTTTCTCTCCCCCTGCCTCCCTCCCACTCTTTCTAAAAATCATCCTCGGGTGAGGATTAAAAAAAAAAAGATGGTCCTGGCTGGTTTGGCTCAGCTGTTAGAGCATCAGCCTGCGGTCCAGAGAGACCCGGGTTCGGTTCCCACTAAGGGCATGTACCTTGGTTGCAGTTTGTCCCCGGCCCTGGTTGGGTCGTGTGGGTGGCAACCACTCGATGTGTCCCTTTCACGTCGATGTTTCTCTCTCTCTTCCTCCCACTCTATCTGAACAAAAAATGAAAAAATGTCCTCGGGTGAGGATAAAAAAAAGATGGACTCTGTAGTAGGCACGGTGATGCTTCAGTCAGGCTTCCTGTGGTGGCAGAAATTTCCTACAGCTCAGAGATGGCATTTATGGGAAGAGCACTGGAGCGGCCATCCACACGGAAGGTAGAATCAAGTGGCCAACCATTAGAAGACTAACTGGAAGAGGAATGCTTACCAGGACTGTTTCTCCCCATTTCTGGTCCCTGTTTAGCTTGGATTCTTTTTTTTTTAAATATTTTTTCTTTATTGACTTTAGAGAGGGAGGAAAGGAGAGGGAGAGAAAAATAGAAGCATCAATGAGAGAGAACATCAATTGGCCTGCATGCCCCTCACTGGGGATCGGGCCCACAACCTGGGCATGTACCCTGACTGGGAATCGAACCGGCGACCTCTTGGTGCAGGGTTGACGCTCAACCACTGAGCCACACCGGTCAGGCTGCTCTGATTCTTTATGCTTCTCTTGGAAATGTATTTTATTCCCCTTCCTTGACGACCTATTTGCCCCTTCCACATAGCAAGAAGCATGGCAGCAGACTCCTGTATCATTTCCCAGTGTGGGTCACCAGAGAGAACATATTTTTTACCTACATCCCAGAAAATTCTGATGGGCTACTTCTGCCATCCCTTGATGCACCAGGGGGGTAGAGTCAGGGTGTCTGCAAGCGCTCCTGCTCCCATTTGTACCCCAAGACCACAATAGGTGTTCTCTCAAGTGGACAAGAGAGATGAGATTAGAAGTCATTTCTTCCCTCAAGAAACTTTCTGTCAGAGGATGACCTAATTGTCATCAGGTGGACAGTTCATGATTAATACTGAAGAAAAGCTCAATAAGACACCTGTCATGTGACTGCTCATTTAGTATTTAAAGTGTTGATTTAGCCCTGGCCAGTTTGGCTCAGTGGTTGGAGCGTCGGCCTGCGGACCAGAGAGACCCAGGTTCAGTTCCTGCTAGGGCCACGTACCAAAAATAAATAAATAAATAAACTGTTGATTTAATTGTCATTTCCCTTTCTTTTCCACAGTGGTTGGAGAAAAGGAAAAAACAAATAACGCTGTAAATGTTCGAACAAGGGACAACAAAATTCATGGAGAGATTTCACTAACTTCTGCCATTGATAAGTTGAAGACTCTCAAGAAATCACGTACACTAACTGCTGAGGATGAATTTTGAAGTCCTTCCTTGTTCTCCCTTCTACATAACCTGGTTTCAAACCCCTGAAAATGCATTTTTCCTAATTAATGTTAGTACTTCTTCTGAGAACGTTGGACCCACTGAGGTTCCTCTGCTGGGCACAGTGAAAGAGGTGGATGAGTAGCTGACATGTACAAAGTTTAATCACTGATGTGTCTGAGGACAACGGGGGGCAAGCTGGGCAATCTCATTTCCCCAAAGTCTTGACTTAAATTGGGAAATGTTACTCGTTTAAAAGGGGAAATACTGGGAAATGAGGATTATGAGATGTTACTGCTAAGATTTGTGCTTTTCAAAAGACAGTTTTAAATAAAAGTCAGCAAAGCTTTTTGGAATATGGCAGAAAATCTTTTCTAATGACGTTTATGTTCTCATTTGTTTTAACTAACCAACAACCACAAGAGAAGAAGCTAATACTGAATGCTGGGTTATTGACAAAGGACTCAAATTCAGTATTGTGGAACCTACTGTAGTTGGCACTGCAGTTGAAGGGTTACCATTTTAATCTAATTGACAACTGAGCCTTGTTTATCTTTACAAAATATAAAGTTCCAGATGAAATTCATCCCAGTGTTTCATCTGTGGGGTTTATACCTCAGTATCTGCTTCCCTAGAGTTAAATTATGTTTTTTGATGGGACAAGTCCACTGATTTCTAGGCCCTAATGGATTTCGGATCTTAACTAAGAGGAATACCTTCCTGGTTAGAACAGACCTTGCTTGATGCTAACAGAGAATTTAACGACCAATCCATAAGTATTTTTTGAGTATTTATTTGGCTCCATACTGTGGAAGTCAAAATAAATGTTAAGACATGCTCTCCCAACACACATCATTAGTTTCCTCAACAGCTGGAAAACAAAACAGAATTTGATGTATATCAGACTTCACAGTGCTGGAAGGTGCAACTTGTGTGATGATACAATGTTCAAGCTGATATTTATTGAAGCCAAACACTACTTGGTCTATTTTTCTCATTCACCAACCCTGGGTAGTCAGAAGACACCCCGCCCCAAACACACACAATGATCTTGTGACAGGTGGATGGAAGAGCTTGTCAACAGGACAGTGTGCTGCTGGAAACGTGCAGATTGCAAGAAGCCTCCCCACGGCTGGACCCGCATCTTATATCCAGGGCTCTTGTCCCAGTGCCTGGGGGCCTGGAGACCCGCTGGCTCATGTCCGGCCTCCCCCAGCTCTAGAGAAACTGTTGGCTGGCGGACCCCACGGCAGGCCGCGGAGATGCCAGCTGGGCACTGCCGGGGCCGGGGATCGGGGATCGCAAGGCCGCCCGGCCCACCTACACCTGCCCGTACCGTTGGGGCCACAGTTCCTACATCTGAAAACAAGCCCTCTCTCTCTCTCTTTTTAAGTGAAAGGAGAGTTTGAAAGATAGACTCCCTGCTGCGGGGAGGGGACCCAAGGCCCCAAGCCCCCTTTAGCATGAAATGCATTGCAGTGTCATCAGAACCTGCGCGCAGTGCCTGGCACCCGGCGCTTCCTCCCTAAACGTAGATATCCAGCCACATACAAATGGGGGCCATCTCCCCAGTTTGCCCGCCTCTGCTTTCAGTCACTTCCGGTGTGCACTTCGGTCCCGTTGACCTTTCCCGGTCTCTGCGGTGGAAGGAGGACTGAGCGCCTCGTCCCAGGACTTGGAGGCGCTTGGAAACCACGCAGAGCGCTCGCACCGCTCTAGCCACCCCTAGCCCGGTTCCCAGGGAGCCTCCCGACCACGCCGGCAGAACCCTCGCGAGAGGACCACACGCTTGAGCCCGGCTGGGGCGAGGGTGCGGGGATGCGCGAGGCCCCGCCCCTTCCGGCGTGCACACGCCGGCGCCCCGCCCCTCCACAGAACTCTAGCCGGAAGTGGCTCGCGCCGGCAAGATGGCGGCTGCGGTGGGCCCGCTGCGCGTCCCGGGCCACCTCTGCCGCGTGCTGCTCTTCCTGTCACAGTTCTCCGTCGTGTCGGGCGGTGGTGAGTTCAAGGCCGGGGCCACCGCGGGTCTGCTGCGTGGCAGAGGGACCCGGGGCCGACGAGAAGCGTCCGGGAGGGCGGAGGGCTGGAGGGGCGCGGCAGCCGACGTGGGCGCGCCCTGGCCGCGGGGACCCCGGCGCCGCACGTTCAGCTGCGCCCGGGCCGCGGGACTGGCCCCGGCCCCGCGTCCCCCAGGCGGTCGCGCTGTGAGGTCCCGCTAGCAGCCATCGCGTGGGTGCCCCCTGCCCGTCAGCCCGGGTTTCCACGCCCCGGACGACGTGTTGTCTGATTGCAGGGTCCCTGAACGTGCAGCCTTCGCGGCCGCTGTCTCGGGCACGCAGGGATCCGGGCCCGACGCGCACGTTCCCGGCAGCTTCCAGGGCGGCAGGTACTGGACGTTTTCTGTCCCAGCAAACGTGTGTCCGTCCCTCTCCCGGGTCCCTCCCTCGTTTCGGGCAAAACTTCCTCTAGTACGTAAATCACTCTCCTCTGGGGGCGGCGGGGTGGAGGACCCGACGGGGGCGGACAGACATGTCCCCAGACGGGCGCGAATTGTGAACCTCTTAACTGATAAAAATACATTGTATTCCCGGCTAGGTTGGCTGGGGAAAAAACCTGCAATCCACCAACAAGTCGTTCACCTGGAAGACTATTTTGAACTTGGGTGGCATAAAACTGTAAATGTTTTTAGCAAATTATGGCCTGTTGATTAGCAGTGGGGGTAATGACAGTGAACTTTAATGGAGTTGGAACCCTTTTGTACTGATGGATTCAGTTGGAGCAGTGGTCCTCAGCCTTCCTAATGTCGCGACCCTTTAATACAGGTCCTGTGCTGTCTGTGGGCGGATCTGCACGTGGGCGGACTGCCTGGAGGCGGTGTCTCGGTTCCTAAGACCATCGGAAACGTGTTTTCCCACGGTCTTAGGCGACCCCTGTGAAAGGGTCTTTCGACCCCCAGGTTGAGAACCGCTGAGTTAGAGGGTCACTGGTTTCATTTCCAAATTAGTGAGCTCACGTGAAAACACTGGATTGGAAACTGGGGTCCGGTTCCGGTTTTCCACTCCCTCTGTGATCTTGAACAAACCCTCCCACCTCTCAGTCTTGGTTTTTCATCTTGTAACATGGTAGATTTTCTGAGGCCCTAACTTGTACCTGGCATTATGTATACATTATATGTACATAAACACCTTCGATTTTTGTGGTCATTGGGGGGACAGCCATTAAATACTTTTTTCTTAGCTGTTGAGCTGGTCACCAAGCACCCGGCTGGCTGGGGCGGAGCCCTGCTTTAATTGCAGGTGTGTCTGACCCCAGCTCTGCTTCTCCATCCCAGCATAGTGTCTCATGGCTAATGATCATGCCCCGCAACCTTAGAAAAGTGTTATTTTTGTCAGTGTTATAAGAGAATGAGCTTCTCCCTCACCTCTCACAGAAAGCACCGACATGCCGCCCTATGTGATGAAGTGCCCAAGCAACGGTCTGTGCAGCAGGCTCCCTGCAGACTGTGTGGAGTGCAGGACGAACTTCTCCTGTGTCTACGGGAAGCCCGTCACTTTTGACTGCACGGTCAAGCCTTCTGTTACCTGTGTTGTAAGTACTGAGACTGACTTGCTCTAAATACACTCACTGTAAACCTGGAGCTAACAGGGTTTAGACATGACTGGGGGCAGTTCTGAAAGGGAGTGCTCTGCGTTTTATAAGTCATATTTAAGGATGCAGTGGTGTTTCACACTTGGCCCTGCCATGGCTGGCTGTGATTTATTACTCTCTCTCGTTAAAGGAGGAAATGGGCCCAGAACAGTCCCGTACTGTTCTCTTCTACAGGTCTGCCTTGGCCGGCAGTTCTAGCATTTCCTTCACCTATTTGAACAAGCCCTTGTGCCCCCAATTCTTTGCAAGTTGGTCTCCGAAGGGCTAGAGTGGAACCCCCCCGCCCCAGGCTCTTGCTGTAACCGCCTGGAGTCTAGTATCAGGGAGTGAGGGAGGCTTCACTCCAGAGGGAGACAGGATTTTATGTGCTGTCTCAGTGTCCGGCTCCAGTTTTCATATATTGATGTAGCCCTTTAAATCCAGGTAATGTCAGGTAGTCGTCACGACTGCCCTTAAATGATTAGTCTTTGTTGTTGTGTTAAATAGAATTTTCTGCCCACTTACCTAATGGCCAATCCTCTTTGAAGGCTTTTACAGTTATGTGTATCATGGGTCTGGCATATCCCGGTCCTTGGTGAAATGGGAAAACGTTGCTGTCTAAGGGGGACTTTCCAGAGTTTGCTTCCCTTGTTTGTCAGCTTCTTTGACATTTATCTCCCAAACGGGCTACTTAGTGAGACATGGTTCTCAAGTTCTTTCTTCTTTAGGTGTTCCAGAATCTACCTGTTTTGTTTAGTGGAAGACAGCAGAAAAGAATAATAAAAAGGTAGAGAAAAGACAAAGCGTAGGGAAATTTCTGAAGCCCTTGGTCATGGTTCCTGGTAGAGCCTTCACCCCCTGTCTGCAGTGTGCCCCAAATTGGGTTCTTTCCTCCTCCTCCAGGTGTTTTCCTCTCTCTGCTTCCTGGACTAGCCAGTAACAGGGAGTCCTGGCAGGTAGCAGGTGCCTGTCCTCAGATGTGGAATTTGAATTTTTTTAAATTTTTTTTTTAATCCTCATCCGAGGACATTTTTCCATTTTTTGTACAGACAGAGTGGGAGGGAGAGAGAGGAAGAGAGAGAGAGGGAAACATCGATGTGAAAGGGACACATCGAGTGGCTGCCACCTGCACGACCAACCAGGGCCAGGGACAAACTGCAACCGAGGTACGTGCCCTTAGCGGGAACCGAACCCGGGCCTCTCCGGACCACAGGCGGACGCTCTAACCGCTGAGCCAAACCAGCCAGGGCTGGAATTTGAATTCTGCCCCAAGGGATTCACATGGTCTGTTCTTTTTTCAAAAAGAAGGACAGTGAAATCCGAGAATTGGCTGTCAGGAGCTGTAGATCCTGGACTGCTGTTGCCAGGTGACCCAGGCAAGCCACATTTTCTTTCATTGCTTGTTTAATGACAGTCTGTCGGGTCCCTTCTCGGTAAATGAGGCAGCATTTCAGGAAGAGGTAATCCATGACTGGCTTGCGCACACATGCAGGTGCTCCTTCTCCCCCTCGGGCCTGCACGCAGACTCTTTCCTCCCTCCCCTCTTATTCTGAACTTCAGGCGAATGGAAATAAGCAAGCTCTTCCAGCTTCTCTCCTTGCATACTGCTCGGGAATCACAGACTAAGGGGCTGTCAGCCAGACTGCACTAGGCAAGGACATTACCTTATACGGACCTGATTCTACTCTGGATTTGCAGTTCGTGACCTTGTGACCTTGAACAGATGTCCTCATCTGTCCTTCCAGCTCTCCATGGCTCTCTGGCTTTTATAAAACAGATTTCCTTTTTTTTGTACAAGAGTACACATGCTCATTGTTACAAATTTAGGTAAAAGTGATGACATAATCCACCCTGAAATAACCTTAGTCGTTTTGTTGTGAATTTCTCTAGATACTTGTTTCTTAGGTCTGTATTTTGGGGTGTATATTTTTATGATTATAGGATCACACTATATACATTTGCTTTGCATACGTAATGGTTTGGTGCCTGTTTTCTTGCCACTTCCTGCAAGATCATAAAGTATTTTGCTGACTTTGTGCCGTGTGACTGGGAATTATTAACATATTAACGAGCTACTGTATTACGATTGATGAGTTCTGTGTCCTTTGCTACATAGGATCAGGACTTCAGATCCCAAAAGAACTTCATCCTCAACATGACTTGCCGATTTTGCTGGCAGCTTCCGGAAACCGATTACGAGTGCTCCAGTTCCACCAGCTGCATGACGGTGTCCTGCCCCCGGCAGCGCTACGCCGCCAACTGCACCGTGCGGGACCACGTTCACTGCCTGGGTGAGTCGGAGGGCCGCCAAGTTGGGGAGCACGACAGTGTTCTCCAAGCCTGCTTGTGGGACTTAAATCAGAAATTTGAGAATTCGGTTTAAATGATTTCATCAGAAGTATTTACTAGCACTTGGGAGTTATGCCAGGCCTCATTAATATACTCAGTGAACTAAAAAAAAAAAACCAGTGCTCTTATCTTTTAAAATGTAGTATTGGATAACACAGGAACAAAATTCATAAGGTATGAAGTCTAATGCACTGTAACTGACTTCCACCAAATGACTATGTGAAGCAGTGGTGATCCCATCACAACGGCCCGAGTGCTTTCCTTCCTCCTCCAGAGGTGGCCACCCTGTTTTGGTTGTCATCCCACTTCCTTTCCTGTCATTGTTCAGCTCTGTCACACGTGGGTAATAACATGCAGTGTGAGCCCTGACCGGTGTGGCTCAACTGGTCAGGTGTCGACCGAGAGGTACTGGTTCGATTCCCGGTCAGGGCACATGCCCAGGTTGTGGGCTGGATCCCCAGTAGGGGGCGTGCGGGAGGCAGCCGATCAGTGTTTCTCTCTCACATCGATGTTTCTCTCTCCCTGTCCCCTCTCTCTAAATATCAATAAAAACCTATTTAAAAAGAAGAAAGATGCAGCATGGTACATCACTAAGGTGCACGTTTTAGAGTCGCATTAGATAGTAGCCAGTTTGTGGTCCCCGGGGACTTTCTTTTTCCCTCAACGTTGTGGCTCTAGGATTCATCCATGTGCCTGCTCTTACTTATTTGTTTTTTTACTCCTGAATAACAATCCTTTGTAAGATTGTGTCATTGTTTATTCATTCTCCCTTGTACTTTGGTTGTTTATGTTTCTTGTTGTTACAGATTGTGTGGCCATTAAAATGTGTGTGTATACCTCCTGGTTGCATGGTGTGGGGGTTGGCCTGGCACATACTCTCCAGTGTGTATCATTTCCCAAAATGCTTTTATCGGCTTACGTCCCACCAGGGTGCATTGCTGTGCTTAGTGATCCACATCCTCTCCAGTACCTGTTGTCCCTGAGTTCTGGCTTTTTCTTTTTTTTTAAATCCTCACCTGAGGATATTTTTCCATTTATCTTCAGAGAGGGAGAGAGGGACAGAGCGAGTAAAACATCGTTGAGAGAGAGAAACATTGATATGAGAGAGACACATCCATTGGTTGCCTCCTGAACGATCCTGACCAGGGCTGGGGACTGAACCGCAACCAAGGTTCGTGCCCTTGACCAGAATTGAACCCGCAACTCTTTGGTCCACAGGCCAACACTCTAACCACTGAGCCAAACCAGCCAGGGCTGTCTTTTCTTAAAGATTTCTAGAAATTATCTTATGTTTTGGATCCTAACCTTTTTTTTTTTATCCTCACCCGAGGACACTTTTTGCATTTATCTTTGGATAGAGCAGGGGGGAGAGAGGGGTGAAGAGAGGGAGAGAAACATTGATGTGAGAGAGATACATTGAGTGGTCCCCCCCTACACAGTCCCAACTGGGGCCAGGGACAAACTGCAGCCGAGGTACGTGCCCTTGGCGGGAATTGAACCCAGGACTCTCTCATGCACAGGCCGATGTTCTAACTGCTGAGCCAAACTGACCAGGGCTATATTTTCTTAAAAAAATTTTTTTTTATTCTTGACTGATTTTTTTTTTAGAGAGAGGAAGGGAGAGAGAGGGAGAGAGAGAGAGAAACATCGATGAGAGAGAACATCGATTGGCTGCCTCCTGCATGCCCCCCACTGGGGATCGGTTGTGACTCCCCCGCCGGGTGTCCGTAGCCCGCAGGGCGTCCCACACCTTCGCGCTGCAGCCTCGCCTGACGGGTTACATCTGTGCTGAGGGTGGTCCTGCCTTTCTTTACCGCTCACTCGAGTGAACATTATCGTAAGGACGGTCGACTTTTGAGATTTTTAATCACAGGTCCACTAGTTACAGTTTAGTCTCTGTGTATTTTTATACCCATGTTTCTAAATAGAGAACTTTCTTTTTCTAAGGTAATCGGACTTTTCCGAAAATGCTCTATTGCAATTGGACCGGAGGATACAAGTGGTCTACTGCTCTGGCTCTGAGGTAGGCGCTGTTGGCCACAGCGAGGGTGCCGCCTGAGGGTGGGTGGGATCGGGGGCTCCTCCCGACACCGAGTCAGGCAAGTCCTCCCCCACGCAGCTCCCGCCACGTGTCACGCAGGCCCGAGGAAGCCTGGCTGGGGGCGATCCTTGGGGAATCAGACCCCCTTACGGAATTGCATGGCAGGAGCTTAGCTTTTCTTCCAGGCAGGCTGCACATGACTGAGCTGAGCCATCCCAGGTCCTTAGGACCACTCGGTTCCCGTCCTGAACGAAACACGAGCCAGTCAACACTGTACTATTTAAGACTTAGATTTACGATGAGTGTATTTAATTTTTAGTAACTTTCTTCTTTATTATAAAAAACAATACATGTTCAGTACTGAACAGCGGGAGAGTAAAAATGACAAAGAAAAATGTTAAAACACCTGTAATTGCACCATCCAGAAGTAATTATAAACTTACAGTTTTTACATGCTTGTATTAAACTTTTCAACAATTTGAAGGAAAAGAAAGGTACTCATTCATTCCACCAGAGGGAAGGCCAGGTGGCCGTGGCGCTGCTTAACCGATTCACTGATGTCGAAGCGGTGCCCCCAGGTGAGGCTCCGAGTTAGAGCCCAGCCCTGCGGCCGGCAGCGTGGCCCGGGCGGGGCCCTCGGCCTGAGTGCAGACCCACCTGGGCTGCCAAGTGCTGGTTCTGTCGGAGCTGGGCCATGGGTGCCGTTCTCTCCCCTTTTCACTCTGACATGCTCTGAGATTTCCACCATAAACACTCCGAAAGAAATCCAGTGAGAAGCTGTCCAAACGGTGTTAGATCTTAGCACGGGAAGGAACCTGGTCTCTTACTCCTGGCGCTCAGTTTTCAGAGGTGAGCGACTGAAACTGTCAGGCAGCGACGGGTGGGCAGCCTCGCGGTGCCAGCTCCTGACTCCCCATCCTAGCTCCGTTCTTGGGGGGTGTCCTTCTTGGGGTTAAAATGCAGAGAGGCTTGTTACTTCTCTTTAAGAGAGAACCCTTAGATTTCAGTCCAGCTAAAGGTGGTGTGTTTACTTTGGACATTTTAACAGTGTTCTTGCCTGTGATTACACCTGACCCTTGAGCAGTGCAGGGGTAGGGGTGCCGACCACCCACACAGTCAAAAATCTGAATATAACTTAAACTCAGCCCTTTGTATACTCCGGTTCCCATCAAGGATTGAAGATCGAAAACACATGTTTGGTATTGTAAACATGAAATAGTCCTTGTGATCTAACAGAGGGTTAGGGTCATCTGAGAGCCTTTCCCAGGTGACTTAGCGGTGTTATGGACCCTCCCCTGGCTGGGGACGGTGGGGGGACATCTGGCGGATCCAGTCCCGTTTGGTGTTGCAGCATCACTCTCGGAGGGTTTGGAGCGGACCGTTTCTACCTGGGCCAGTGGAGAGAAGGTCTCGGCAAGCTCTTCAGCTTCGGTGGCCTGGGAATATGGACGCTCATAGACGTCTTGCTGATTGGAGTCGGCTACGTGGGACCAGCAGATGGCTCGCTGTACATTTAACTGCGGCCGGGGCTTCGGAGAGGAGCCTGGGAGAGCCCTGGGCCGTGGGCACTGATGTGCCTGCCGGGAGGGACGCGTCCGCGTGTTCATGTACGGCACCTGTACTTCGCCTGCCTTGAAGAAGGTGAAATACACTTTGAATCATGCTTCTCTGGAGTTTGGTTTTATTTGCCCAAAATAGGCTATTTTCTGTGAAAAAAAACAACTTGGACTTAATTAAAATAGAGGAATACATTCTGCAGTGACTGGAAATCAATTGAATTCCTCTGACATTCGTTTTATGTTGCTTAAGTCAAAGTGTATCACTTGGATCCGGGGCTGAGTGTGATCTGCCCAAAAGGCTCTGCAGTGTGATTGCAGAGGGTTAGCTCAGTGAATGGCCTGCCTGCGCTTGCGTGCTGAGTTCTCCACGTCGCGTGTCTGCAGTCTGGTCTTTGTAGTGAGCGTCCAAACGACAAGTTTCATGTCTAGTTGCTGTGGTTTGAATTTTACTGGTAATATAAAAGGTTCTAAGAGTATTGAAAAATCAATAAAGTTATAAGTTGCTTTAAGAAACATGACAGACCTGTGTTCTTGAGTAATCCTAACAGCTGTTGTCATGAAGAGGTATATGTTCACTTTTCTGGACACCACTACATTCCAGCAGGTACACAGTTGACCCTTAAACCTCATAGGGGTGAGGGGCTCCGATCCCCACCTGTCACAAATCCGAATGTAAGTTAAGTCAGCCCTGCAGATACCGGGATTCCAAACTGTGGACTAAAAATACAGCTGAGCCTTGAACAACGTGAGTTTGAACGGCGTGAGCCCACCTCAGATCTGCATAGCAGACCTGCACCCCTCAGGCCCCTGTTCGGGCATCTGTCACCACAGTCGGCTGGGCTTTTGACATACCGCAGTGTCTGTGTGTTTTAGCATGAGGACTGTTTTTGAGCTTATAGCTCCTTTATTGGAAGGAAAAGCAATTACTAATCCAAAATGGGTTTTGCAATGATTTCTTTTGAAACATTACAACTCTTAGCATTTTCCTTTCAAATCAGGCATCTGTTAATAGCCAGAAGATGGAGCTAGCCTGTCAGATCTAGAAGCTATAACTTAGTTTTGGAGAGTATCTCCATAAATCTAATGGAACAAAACCATATTTTATTCACCAGATTATTATTTTTTAATCCTCATTCGATGATATTTTTCCATTGATTTTCAGATAAAGTGGGAGGGAGGGAGAAATATTGATGTGAGAGAGACACATTGATTGGTTGCCTCCTGTGTGACCCCAACCAAGGCCAAGGATCAAATCACAACCGAAGTATGTGCCCTTGACCGGACTCAAACCCATGACTCTTAGGTCTGAGGGCCGATGCTCTCACCACCGAGCCAAACTGACCAGGGCTTCTTCCCCAGATTATTAATCGAAGTTTACCTGAAAGGGGACTTGAATCCCTCTTGGTTGCCAAGTAGCAGTTCCAGCTTTGACCGCTAGATGGAGCGTCCCGTTCACATTTGCTTCACATTGTGTTTCCAGAAACAGCCCATCTTTTTTTTTTTTTTTATCCTCACGCGAGGACATTTATTTTTGATATTTTGTTCCGATAGAATGGGAGGGAGAGAGAGAGAGAGAGAGAAACATCGACGTGAAAGGGACACATCGAGTGGTTGCCACCCACACAACCCAACCAGGGCTGGGGACAAACTGCAACCGAGGTACATGCCCTTAGCGGGAACCGAACCTGGGTCTCTCGGGACCGCAGGCCGATGCTCTAACTGCTGAGCCAAACCGGCCAGGGCGAAACAGCCCATCTTAACGTGTTTTTCCCCTGGGAACATGAGCCGCAGCCTGGTTCGCGTGGAGTGTTCTTCTCTAGGGCAGACGCACTTTGTTACCCATCAGGGGCATGGGACACTTGGTGGAGCAGGTATGTCTGGGACCTATGCCTGCAAAGAAGCAGCCCCTTTGCAACTCCCACAGAACTTTTCTAGAATCTCCTCCATAGTTAGCTCAGTGCAGAAGAGCCTGCCTAGTGTTTCCCTGATGAGCTTCCACACCAGAGGACTGGGGAGCCCTGGGCACTGTGGGCTGCACACCTTGCTCACGAGGACGTCGGTAGCAGCTGCCTCCGCCGTTGACCCTCTTCATGGTTTTGGGGGTCTGGGTGAGATAATGAGGCCCCAGTGTTTGGAAGGCAGGAGCTGAAAGATTCTGAATCCGTGAAAGGAGACAAATGCACCCATTTGCTTCCAAATCCTAAAAACCCGTTGGAGGGGTACAGTCTGTGGAACCTGAAGGAGGTGAGGAGCTGGTGGAGATCGTGGGTTCTGAAATGGAGCTAGCAGGGAAATGGAGATGTCCGAGTACAATTCAAAGAAATGAATGCTGCCCTGGCCGGTTTGGCTCAGCGGTTAGAGCGTCGGCCTGCGGTCCTGAGAGACCCGGGTTCGGTTCCCGCTAAGGGCATGTACCTCGGTTGCAGTTTGTCCCCGGCCCTGGTCGGTTGTGCGGGTGGCAGCCACTCGATGTGTCCTTCTCACGTCGATGTTTCTCTCTCTCTCTCTGTTCCTCTCTCTCCCCTCCACTCTACCTGAACGAAGAATGGAAAAATGTCCTCGGGTGAGGATTAAAAAAAAAAAAAAAAGACAAAGAAATGAATGCTGAACTCATACGTGGGCCCCTGGAAGAAACTTAAAACTAACCTGGCTGGTGTGGCTTACTGGTTGAGCATCGACCCCTGCACCAAGAGGTGGCCGGTTTGATTCCCGGTCAGGGCACGTGTTCAGGTTGTGGGCCCGATCCCCAGTGGGGGGCATGCAGGAGGCAGCCAATCCATGTTCTCTCTCATCGATGTTTCCATCTCTCTCCCCCTCTCCCTTGCTCTCTCAAATCAATAAAGGAAAAAAAAGAGAATTAAAGGCACAGTGACATAAAAAAGAAAATCTCTGCTTTGCTTTGTCTGCTGCCCCACTTGTCCAAGTGACTCCCCCGGCAGGGGCTGTTACCTGTTTCTAGCTGCCCGGTGTCCCCAGCACAGCGTCTCATCTATTCACCGAGTGGGTCAGTGGTGACTTGGAAGGACTGAAGCACTTGTGTGGCGCCGTGGAAACTGGCAGTGAAGGTAGCTACAGGGAGATGACACAGAGAAATTGACTTCGTGTAAATACCAGCCCTAGCGCCACGTCCCTTGGATTCCTGCAGATCGCTGGAGTGGTGCTTCCAGAAACAGACTTTTCCAAGCTCTTACGCTTGAAGATTTGAAAATGCCTGCTCTGCCCCACAGCTTGGTTCCCTGTACGTTTTTAAACACTTCCTGCCAGAATTGCGTTTATTTTTGGCACGTCATCAGCCTAGGATCTTACACATGATTTCAATTCATCCCATCGTAATGCGTGGAAAACAGCTGTGTCTGAGGCAACTTCTTCAAGAGCAGGGTAGTTGAAGACGAAGGATTCTTCATGCTGCTCTTGAGACCCCTCCCCCGCCCCCCACGTCCACTCCACAGCTGATCAAAGCGCCTTTGGTCGAGTGTGAGGTGTCACCAGAATGTTAGCGGGTGTGGATGTTCGTTCTAACCTGGGCAGATTTGCCATCAATGCTCAGATTTGAAGTATTGAAATTGACTTCTGTTAACATACTTTTATGCAAACTAAGGAAGCTTTGATTGAGAGACAGGGACATTATTTAATAAGGCTCCTTGAGAGCAAGACTCTGGTCTCTGCTGTAGCCCAGCTTCGAGAGCCCTCCCTGGCACACAGTGACCGTCCGTGGAATGAATGAACGAGAGAGACTCTCCAGGCATAAGCTAAACACCTGAAAGTATTGCTAAGAAGTTTTGGGTAGAAGGGTAGACATGAACCCAAGGTAGTAAAAACTGGTACCTGCTTCCCACAAAAAAACAAAAACAACCCAGCAGCAATCAGGGAAAAAGACCATCGAATGTCAGACACTTCCAAAAAAGAAGAAAGAGATTGCTCAGGGCGCCTGGCTACTCCTGCAAAATGGTCCTGGTGAGTCAGCAACGTCCAGGAACTGCCACACTCCAGAGAAACAGACTGCTCACGGGGAGATGGGGGCAGCCTCGCCTTTTCCCTTTACTGCAGGGGAGGTGAAAAGGCCTAGGGGCAGAGACCATGGGGGAGGCCAGTGGACAACAGAGCGATTCCCTAATGGATGGCGGTGGGGTTGGTCCGCACTGAACCAGAAGAGGGATCCGAAGCCCCAGAGCACCCTGTGGGCTGGCCCTGGTATTTCTCTCCAGAGCACTCGGAGATCGCGTGAGGGCATTCTCTCTGAATCTGGAGTCCTCAGCCGTGCCAGACTTGCATCCTGGCCCACACTCGACCTCTCGCGATTTGCTGGAGTCTCAGCTGATGCCTTCGTCCCTCGTGGTGGCCACGTGTTTCTCCCGTCTCCGCCAAAGGGCAGATAGGTGGCTGTGTTTCTCCTCCGCGGGCCTGCGCCTTTGGAATTCAGCTCATTTGGTTGCCTTGCAACCTCGCATGTCTGATAGACTCAAGAAAAATGATGACTTCTGTAGACGACTCAGGTTTTTCTCATTATCCTGTGCAGCGTTTTGCATTCCACATAGAAGCAGAAATGAGACGTTTTAAATCACGATTACTGACTCACTTTCATTTGCCTGCATCCATCCATCAAGAACATTACATGACCTTTTTCCCCAGATGACTTCAGAAGGGCTTTTCAGCCATATTTAAAAGTCGAAAAGCTGTGAATGATCGGCTTTCCTTCTTATTTTGTAACCTAGTAACCGAGGTCATTAATGAAGATCACAGTTAAAGGTTTGGCCTTTGAAAAAAATGGAAGAGTCAAGACATAATTAGAAGGTTAACATTTTCCCCTTTCCTCTGGAAGTTCTTGAATTACCTTTTAAATATGGATGAGCTGTCGCTAGCCAATTAGGACTGCACCTCCCGTGGGTTCTAAGAGACCGTAGAGTCTGATTTCTTCTTTTTCTGTGTTAGGTCTGCGATGTGGACATGACGACAGAACATGTCTGTGATCACTTAATGTTCCAGCGTTGATGGCGGTGTAACAGAACACCCCAAGCTCAGTGACATCAAACGATCCCTTATTTTCGCGGATACTGCGGATCAGACACTTGGACAGGGCACAGCAGAATGGTTCATCTCTGCTCCACAATGCTTGTGGCCAGAGCTGCAAGACTCAGAGAACAGGACCAGAGTCTCCAGAAGGGGCAGTCTTGTTTTTTTTTTGTAATCCTCACCCGAGGTTATTTTTCCATTTTTTGTTCAGATAGAGGAGGAAGAGAGAGAGAGAAACATCGATGTGAAAGGGACACATCGAGTGGCTGCCACCCGCACGACCAACCAGGGCCGGGGATGACCTGCAACCAAGGCACGTGCCCTTAGCAGGAACCGAACCCGGGTCTCTCTGTACCGCAGGCCGAAGCTCTAACCACTGAGCCAAACCGGCCAGGGCAGAAGGTGCAGTCTTTACATACCTGCAGTTGCTCCCCCACAGGGGCCTCTCCGCATGGGTGTGGTTGGGCTTCCTCACAGCATGGCGGTCGGCTGCCTGGGCTGGA